CCCGACGTCCTCGTCGGCACACTTCCGGCCAGGGATTGGCTCTGATACCATTTGTCACATCCCGGCCCGGGGCGGATCACTTCCCGGGCCCGCTGCACCACCGTAGCACGATATTGTCCTTTTTGGGCTTACCATTCCCTCACGGTTTTGTTTTTGGGAACTCACGAGCAACTTCCCAGTGGGTCGCCCATCATGGGATTGCTCTAGCCCTCTTCTCGCTTAACTTCGGAGTTCCTACAGAACCCGAAGCCAGTGAGCTCCCAAAAGGCCTCTTGCTCGGTAAGGATGAGAATATATATATAAGGATCACTCCTCTAGACGATGTGGGATGTCATAATCCATCCCCCTTAGGGGTCCGACGTCTTCATCGGCACACCACGACCAGGGTTAGGCTTTGATACCAAATTGTCACATCCCAGCCCGAGGCGGATCACTTCCCAGGCCCGTTCCACCACCGTAGCACGATATTGTCCGCTTTGGGCTTACCATTCCCTTACGGTTTTGTTTTTGGGAACTCACGAGCAACTTCCCAGTGGGTCACCCATCATGGGATTGCTCTAGCCCCCTTCTCGCTTAACTTCGGAGTTCCTACGAAATCCGAAGCCAGTGAGCTCCCAAAAGGCCTCGTGCTAGATAGAGATGGAAATACACTTAACGATCACTCTCATGGGCGATGTGTGATGTCACAATCCATCCCCCACTTAGGGGCCTAACGTCCTCGTCGGCACACACGCGACCAAGTTTAGGCTCTGATACCATATTGTCACATCCCGGCCCGGGGCGGATCATTTCTCAGGCCCGCTCCACCACCGTAGCACAATATTGTCTGCTTTGGGGGTTAGGCTCTGATACCAAATTGTCATATCCCAACCCGGGGGAGACCACTTCTTGGGCCCGCTGCACCACCGTACCACGACATTGTCCGCTTTGGGCCCCAACCACACCGTAACAGTTTTGTTTTTGGGAACTCACACGAGAACTTCCCGATGGGTCACTCATCTTAGGAATGCTCTCAGTCTACGTTCAAAAATGATCAAAAGGGTTATAAAATTTGGTAGATTGTAAAAAGTGTATACATATGCATGTTATTTTTAGAATATCATATTTACATTGCTGCATTCATTTATATATGCGAAAAATCATAGGTTTATTTTATAAGAGAAACTTTTGAGGGTGCTTGTACAACACGTGTCATAAGACAATTAGTTAGAAATATTTTTTTATGATTCCAATTAATTGTATTAATACACTTAATTTACTAGATTTTATTTCTGACACAATGAAAAATCTCTCATTTTACAAAAAGAAGATGATTGCGTGTACATGTAGTTAAGCCTAGTTTTAGCATCTTAAGCAACAAGGACGTGTCCGAATCATCAAAGAAAGAACAAGGACAACAACAAAAAATTTATTCTGTTTGGTCAGTTTTTTGAGCCTCCCAACGAAGTTGTAGGCGTGAAGAGAATTTGTCTAAAATAATTCAAATAATTAGAAGAAAAGTTGAATAATTAACTAGCTTTGATTATATTTTAAACTATAGGAACATCCGAACATGTCAGGACAAAGCATGTAGTCCCCGTTGGTAAAATTTCTTTTTGTAGAGAAAATTATAACTAGTATATAAGCAAAGACTCAAACTCTTCTTACTTGAACAGACACAAAGTTTATTATATTAATTTATTATTGACTACCCTCAAGACTGACCTTGAATACATTTAAAATTTGATTCCCTCCGATGCGTAGAAATCAAAATTTATTTATCAAAATGAACGTTTGAAGCTTCTCATCTTAATTTAAGTCATCATGAAATGAAATTGAAAAGAAAACACGTGCAAGAGCTACTGATGTGTAATTGTAATGTTGTGACGTCTCTCTTCGACATTTGATGTGTAGATTTCAATTTTCATGCCCGAAGGCATGAAGTGCACGATTATTCTGTCTATAGAAACAGCCTAATATCTACCCAACTAGTTGCATAATTGACAAATTGATTCTCAGAGTGCACGCAACGAAAGATTCTCTCTTGCAACTAAAATATTATACTCGTAATATTATTCGTTTAATAGAATGTTGCGTGTTCAAGAAGTAAATTATTTGTTCGATACACGACAAGAGAATCTCTCTCACATGCAAGAGTCCTTTTATTCCCTCCACTTCATCTCCTCAATGCGAAGATTTGAAGTGATGTTCAGTAGATGTCTTTGTCTTACCTTGCCTTAATATACATGACAAAGTGGCAATCCTTATCGTCATCGTAGCCAGCTTCAATGTCCTTTCCATTACCATCACCACAAAAGTTTTTCGTCTAAATTCAAGAAACAAATCAAACAAGTGTCTGTTTTATATTGGGTTTGCATGATACATGTGATTTGCTTTGTAGAAAAGACTTACTGGCTCCGGGTGTAATTAATGTCACCGTCACGCGAAGAGAATGATGGCTAACAAACCGGTTTATATACGGAGTAGCTTGATAAGCATAAACTAGAGAAAACTAGAGTTTCGAGTATTTTAAAGTTGTGGCCTCATGACAAATTAGAGTTCATAATGTCAATGACGGAGTTAGAAAATTTTTACTAGGTGGACTAGCTTAAAAATTTAAATCTTCATAAATAAAGAAATTTGATACCGTATTTTTTCATAGTATCAGCTAGCTTAAAAAAATTTCATAGGATGAGTCAAAAAATTTTGTAATTAAACAAATATGTGTTAAAATTAAAAAAAATTCAAACTTGTACATGTAAAAGAAGCGATGAGAAAAATGATTTAAGAAAAAAAAAATGGTTTGTAAACTGTATTATATAATTTTATATAGTTGAAACTAAATAATTTGAATTAATGACTAAATATATGGTGGGCTACATTCGAAAATCAATCAAAATTACATATAAATTTTTTTTTTTTTTAAGAAGCTACCTGGGCTATAGCCCATGGCAGCCCTTAACCTGGCTCCGCCAGTGCATAATGTGTTGTATCTAATTTTTAATAATGTAGTGCGACGAAAAAGACTCCTATGTATGATATATGATTTTTTTTTTTTCGGCCAAGTAATGACATTAGCTGGGTCAAATATTCGTTCGTACCTGGACTATCGTATAATATTACCAAATAAAATTTGAAGAATTTCTCATGGTCTTTTTTTTTCTTTTTTCTTTTTTTTTTAAATTTTAATTTTGGTTCGGTCAATATTTGTCACTACCATATCAGTACGATGCATACACGGGCGCAAATATGAACGGAGGCAGTAACATTTTATTAAGGGCAACTTTGAATAACGAAATTGAATTGAATTTTTTTTTTTTTTCCAAAAAGGGGGACAACTAGTGATAAACAACTCTTTCAAGGGTCGTGAAGATTTACAAAAGCATTTCAACCCCTTTCTAGTCACAAGTCTGACTTCCACACCAATAACGGGTTTCGAACCCGTGACCTCCAATTTTTAGGTAATTGGTGTTTAAAACGCTAAAATTTTGGGTAACTGGTGTTTAAGAAGAGTGAGAGTATGAAAAGAATAAAACGTGAGAGCGTAATTTATATTTTTAGTTGGAGCAATTTTTCATCGCAAAATAAGTTTACTGAGGGCAGTTGCCTCTATCTATGGCCACAAAGTTAATCTACTTCGTTTTCAACAACTCTATACATGTGAGAATTAAACAATATTCGATAGATAAAACCAAAGGCAACTACATCTAGAATCCTTTCAACACAACAAAAAATAACTAATAAATTGGATAAAACCAGAAACAATTAACCAATAGCATTTGCTCATATAAGATAAGTTATTTTCTAAATGTATACCAAAAATGGCAAAGGAAGACAAAATCCTTGCAAACTTTCCTAAGAATTAACGTTTGAAGCTCCCGGTTAGCCATGGGATAACATAAGATGAACGTTTGAACCTTCTCATCTTAATTTGAGTCATCAGGAAATGAAATTGAAAAGCAAACATATGCGAAAGCTATTGGTGTGTATTTGTAATGGTGTGACGTCCCACTCATTCCAATTTTCATGCCCGAAGGCATGAAAGGCATGATTATATGTCTATAGCAATTGCCTAATATATACAAAACTAGTTACATAATTGATAAATTGATTCTCTGAGTGCACGCAACAAGAGATTCTCTCTTGCAACTAAGATATAATACTCATGACGTCATTCATTTAATATAAGTTTGTCATGTGTTTAAAAAGTGAATTACTCATCCAATATACAATAAAAGAGTCTCCCTCGCATGCAAGCGCCCTTTTTTTCTCTCTACCAACTGTTCCTATCGGAATAGAAAATAAGAGTGACAATGAATTTGAGCAGAAGATATGAACTGGCTGTTATATTCTCAAACCATTTAGCTAGTGGCGTCACCTCATTCTCTTTTTTTTCGACGTGCGGTATGTCACTCCACAAGCACGGAGCATCAGCCCAAAGAGGGGGTGGGGGGGCCGGTTGGGGTTCAGGAGCTTTGAACAACTCAACTTTATCTCCCGAATGTGAAGTTTGGAAGTGATGTTCAGTAGATGTCTTGTCTTACCTTTACTTAATACACATGACAAAGGAAATCCTTATCGACATCATAGCCAGCGTCAATGTCCTTTTCATTATCAGCCCCCCAAAACTATTTCGTCAAAATTCAAGGAAACAAATCAAACAAGTGTTTGTTTTACATTGGATTTTGTCAATTTATTGTCCAACTACATGATTTTAGATAACTGGTGTTTAAAACGTCAAAATTTTGGGTAATTGGTGTTTAGAAGGGTGAGAAAGTAGAAAAAGTATATAAGATGATATAGTAATTTATATTTTTAATTGGAGCAATTTTCCATCGCAAAAGAAGTTGATTAGGGGCAATTGCCCCAGTAGGCATATGTTGCCACCATCCATGGCCACAAAGTTAATATACTTCGTTTTCATTGACTCTTTGCACGTAAGAATTAAACAGTATTTGACAGATAAAGCAAAGGGCAACTACATTTAGAATTAACTAATATATTGGATAAAACCCGAAACATGCTATTAACCAAGAACAATTGCTCATATCAGATTAATTATTTCCTAAATGTATACAAAAATGGCAAAGGAAGACAAACTTACAAATTTTCATAAGAATTCCAATAGAATTAGAGAAGAGGTTGAGATCTTCTCCTGATCTTATTGTTCGAAGCCCAATGATCAGGAAATCCGAACCACTCAAATTGAATCTGACAGTTCTCATTAACTTATTCTACTAGGGCACCTTTCACAAACCAAGGCCCAAATCTCACTCTTGAACATTCCGGATTTGCTAGTCCTTAGACTCCACAGTGAGGTCCGAAGAGGATCTCAACTCAGAGAAGAGGGAACTGAAGAGAATGTATAGAGGTTAATAACATTGTCCTACCCTATACTCCAACCAAAATTTCCACAATCCGATAACTTTGGCACAAGGAATTTGATACCAGATTCTACAGGTAAACATCAAACATAGAAGATTCTCTGGCAACTTGGTACTTCCACAGAACTGCAGTTTCCTCTCACTTACATGCAGATACATGCAGTCACGACGACGACGTTGTGTTTTCCAATTGCAAGCTCTCTTTCAGAAGGCACTTTTTTTTTTTCCATTAGAAGAGAAAGAAACAAGTTCAAACTTTTAGACCACCTGCTCAATAAAATGACAAATATTTGGAAGCCAATTAATTACCACGAATATCATCTATAACGGAAATTCTACTATCTTCCGGTCTATCAAAAATATAGAGATTTTTTGCCGGTTGATATAGATTTTTGGACACCTGACCAACAGTCTAACAGCGAAAAACTCAATGTATAAGATATTCCGAGCATATTACAAAACCTCCGTATATGGTGGCAGCAAATACAAAAGAGGGAACAGAAAATGAGTTAGTTTCTGGATTGTAACTCCTTTTTTACCAAAAATAATGAAAGAAAAGAACGTACTCCCCTTCTTTATTACAGCCAAATCTTCAGCTCTTTCACAAAAAAGGCAAAAGTAAAAGTTAATGTATTAGAAGATTTTACTATGATCCATGCATACATGATTAGGAAATAATCCAACGATTAAGAACATCGTGTGATACATTACGAGCGGAAACAGGGAAAATTAATTCCATAATACAAAAGAATTAAACTTATATGGAAGCAAAATGTTTTGAACAATATAAAAGTCGATAAACAAGAACATCAATTCTAGCAAAAGGGAATGAACAAGTCAAGAACAGGACACCTAAAATTCATGTTCAAGCAAAAGAACAAGATCAATCAGAAAGACGCTTGAATGCAAAACTCAGCCCCCAAAAAACGAATTCTAACCAATTAATTCACCACAAACCATCTTATGCAGGTATGAGAAGCACATCAGTTTGGTATCATTGAACTAATAACTCGAAGTCCATAATCAATACTATCAGTTTCGCCATCATAATCACCTACGATGCATGGACACAAAGACACGACACAGAGATACGTCCAATTAACAAGAAGAATTGTTGTATGACCACAAGAAAATACGACATGACATGGGAATACGAAGGAATACCACCGTGTCCATGCATCATAGATAATCACACTGATGAACACTATAAACTCGGTTTTCTGCACCCGAAGACTAACACTGGAACACAAAACAACACATAAGCTCATCTCGAAAGGCAGATTTATAGTCCAAAATTCAATCATCTCAATTCTCACCATAAATACCAAATACTCAATGTTCTGGCAACCAACATAGTAAATATAAAATTTACAACCAGTCATTAAGAAATTAAATAAAATATAAAGCTTCAAACTTTAGAATTAAAAGCATGTCATAGATCAAGAGTTTGTTCAATTGGTTGGGAACAACGCCGATACACAAATGTCATAATATAAGTGATTGGATACTTAGAAAAAAAAATTCCAACCATTTTTATTTTGTCAGTGTAGCGAGCCGTGTTTTTGGTACAGTGAATTTTTTTTCTCTCGTCATAGTCATAGATCATGTATTTTCAAGTTCAGAATTCAGGAAAGCAAAACCATAATCTAGATAAATGATTAATCTGCCATTTAATTGCCTGCAGGCTGTAGTCAACCACCAAAAGCACATACAAACAAAATACTAAAAGCAAGTTACCCACAAATCTGGTTTTATTTACCTTCTAAAAAAAATGAACAAGCTTTTTGCCTTCTGGGTTCCGATCAGAAGTTCGGAAAAACACCAAAACTTCAATCTTTACCATATTTTCCCACACTTTATCAGCAACCAAACAGAGCAAGTTCAGAAATACCAGCAAAAATAAAAAATAAATAAAGAGAAGAATGAGACAGTGAGCGCTGGATGCAGAGGTTTATCGACCGATTCATGTACTGTGTTTACTCACAACAAAATCTCATAAACAGATCGATGAACCGCTGCCTCCAGTGCATTCCCACCCCACCAAGTAATTATTTTTATGAAAAAATAATAATAATAAAACAAATCCATGTCAACCACCACCCGTAGATCTCAGAAACGGGAGATCTCACAGCAACATTATATACAATAATAATATATACTTACATACATACGCTAGTGCATGTATTTATAGAGAGAGAGAGAAACGGATCGAACCCAGGAATCTGGAGAATCGCATCAGCATCACACACACAGTCTCTCTCTCTCTCTCTCTCTCTCTCTCTCTCTCTCATGAGTTTGTTAATGACTTGGTAAGTCACGGACGGGATGTTGTGCAGTCACTTTTCAAGGGGCATTGAAAGCTGTGTGGGTTTTTGATTCTTTTGAACGAATTTACTGATTAGCTATGAAGTGGCACGTTTTTATTTTTATTTTAACAAGACTTGGCTGCTGAAATTTCAGCAGCCATTCCTTCTTACAATTAATTCTGTGTGGACACGTGTTCAAGTTTTAATTTTTTTAATTAAATTTGAATACGTATTCACACAGAATTGGTTGTAAGTAGGGATGACTGCTGAAATGTTCAGCAGCCAAGTTAATTCATTTTTATTTTTCAACTCTTAGGTTTATTTTTTGAGTTATTAAATCCAATTATCATAAGGCGTTTGTGTTGAGATCAAATCTTATCTTATGTACTTTTTTGTGTATGGTCATGCTGTGATATTTGTCATTGATTGACCCGTGTTAAGCTTATAACAACACAATTAATAAGAGTTATGTCTATTAACACGAATCAATCAATAACATAGATTACACATAAAATGAGAGCAAAAGATTTAAATGAGAAAATGTTATCCCCAAACTTGAAAACACACAAAGCGACAGAAAAATATAATAATTCAATAACTCATATTTCATATTTATATGAGAAAATCTGATCGTTTGTTGATATAATATTAGTATAAGTGTTAGTCGTGTTGTAGTTGTCTGTAAATTGAGTTTTAATGAACATTGAAGGAAGGACCACATTCGAGTGTAATCTTTGCCGTCCATTAATGTTAAATCCATCAGAATGCAGTCCACAGCTCAGATCGTCCATGAGGATCAAGGACCGAAGCTCGTACAGACCAATTAGCATATGGGTTCTACCCAAGTCATCCAATAGATCTATAAATTTATTATGATTACTGGAACATGAGTGATACATTACTTGTTTTTATATAAATTGTAAGAAATTTTATTTTTTAAATTATTAACTTTTTAGCACATATATCCCACAATTTATATAATAACACGTGATGTACCACTTCTTGTTTTGATCACACTGAAAAATCTCTCCAACATTGAGCCATGGCAAGCTTTAAGTTGTTTTCATCGAGGCTGGGTTGGGACTTAAAATCTAAAATATCAAGTTCCAGCATTTTTAAACTATCAAGAACAAGTACTCATTCGAAAATAACTTACTTATATTTAATATTTGAAATATAGTCTCACGTTTTCTTACTCGTTACATGATTAGCGAGACACTATAGACAAGGAAGTTTTCTCTTTCTTTGGAGCTACATATTATTTGGAGTTACTTTTTTTTTATTTCATCATTATTGTGTTATCTTAATAACGAATTGAACAACACTTCACGAATTTCATTTACTCAAAATTTTTTCCAACTTCCACAAGTGCCTTCCATATTAAGAATCGACACAAAAATTTATACTTCTACACTAAATTTAGAGACATCTATTGCACAAAGTGGACCAAAATAATCCTCAATTTGATGAAATAATTGACCAACTAACGATCAGAGGAAGTTTAAAGCCAAATTGAAAGCTCCAAAGACAAAGTGAAACAAGATCTGTAATTTTAATAAATTTTTCCCAACCAAGGAAAGGGACTTGTCCTTTGTATTAATCATTAAGTTAACTTGATGGATAAGAAATTCAAGGAATCTCAATACTAAAAGGTAAAGCAAAACTCCACATCCTCGAAGTAAAAAGAAGATAAACCCAAAAAAAGAGATGAAAAGAAAAGTAACTGCTCTTGCCTCTTTCCATGTTGCCTTCCACTACATGCATGCAGTGAAGTAAAGGCCACCAAAATCATACATTGAATTTGTACTATATACATACATACATACATATATATGCTGCTATATATTTGCATCTAAATGCAACTTGAATTATTTGCTTCTAAAATTTCTACAGCCATGGAAACAACATCACCAACACTACCTGAACCAGCAGGAGATCAAATCTTGGGTGGTGGTACTGGTAGTAGCAGTAATATTAGTAATACTATTCCCCAAGCGGTACCATTAGTTTCTTCTTCTTCTTCGGGTTCCATTGGGCCATTCTTTGCAGTGATCTCTGTCCTAACCGTCCTCGCATTTCTCTCGTGCGTTTTGGGTCGGAGGCTGACTCGTGATGAAATGGTAAGGACCCCGGTGGAGAGCATCAGGGATAGAATCGGCTGTTTTGGGTGGTTGAAGCGCAAGGGCCGGCAGCTGCAGTGCATGGTTGCTCATCATGACGTCGAAGTTGGATCAAAGGTGATGGTCATCGATCTTGGTCGAGAAAAGAAAGGTGATGCTAGGGTTAAAGAAGGTGATCATGAAGTTCCTCCCCAAAAGGATTGATTGTATATTTTGACGATGTAATGTTCTAATTGGGAGATTAATTTATAGCATTCTTAAGGTTCTTGAATTTGGTTACATAATAATTAACGAGAAATTAATTCATATCATGTATAATATTCTTTTTCTTAGGAGGTATCATGTATAATATTTAGCATAAAATGTTGATTCACCTTATTCTAATTTTGATAGACACGATTGCAGAAAACTATTTGAGAAACTACAGAATAAAATGCCACTATTTTTTAAGTAAAAAATAGGAGTTACGTTCTATCAAAATCTTAATTCTACTCGTCTAATTCTCCACCAAATCTGAAATCTCGTGCTAATTCTGTACGTTTTATTGGTTTGGAAGCAGTATTGAAGGTTACCACCAAGACAGCTCAACTGAGCTGTACATGCAAATCATGGTTGACGGTGTTACTAAGGACCAAAACTGGGGGTTTGACTTGCATGCTTGGATCCAGCCTTGCACCTACCTCATCAGCTTCACTCCTTATCTTTTCCTTTAATTCAGCTGCTTTGATTTAACAATATGAGAAGTTTTTCTTTTAAGTGAAACACACTCACGTGGCATTATGCAAATTACCAACATAAGAACTATGTCATCACTTTTATCATAATACTTTAAAATAGTACAGATATTCTAAAAAAAGGGTGACCTCGAGCCAACAAGTATCTCTGCTTTGCGAGGGTTGGGGAGAAAGTCTGTCATACACAATTTTACTCTTGTTTTACAAAGAGATTATTTACTCAATCTGTAACTTTTCGATCACAAAAAGAAAAAATTTCTGTTGCGCCAAGACTTGCAAAAATTTTAAAATAAAATAATTATATTGTACTCTTCAATTCTTACCAAGAATATGTGCAAGTCAATTGGCCAAAATTTAATCAACCCCAAGAAAATGCCGAAATTTAGCTTCCTTCCTAGAAGCCTTCCAATCCAATGATTCTATATGCGTGTGACAAAAAGGGCAAAAAAGAAACCACCGACTCGTTTTCCTGTCCTTAGTTGTCCCCCCAACACCATATTTAGCCTTCAAATTTCCATTCACCACCTAAAACACCACCTCTCTCTCTCTCTCTCTCTCTCTCTCTCTCTCTCTCTCTCTCTCTCTCTCTCTCTCTAAACGCACCAAATCAAACCACCACCTTCATCTCCTCCGCCGCCACAACCACCTCCTAACGCCAAATATTGCCGCATTCTGCTACAAAACCTACATTCTCATAACGTTGTGCACACTGTGTCACATTTTTCGTTGTTACAATATTTATAACCCTAATGCCTGCATTACGAGTTGATCAACTCAACCAGCTAAGAGACATCTTTGCCAGATTCGACATGGATTCTGACGGCAGCCTCACCATCTTGGAGCTTGCTGCGCTCCTCCGCTCGCTCGGCCTTAAGCCCTCAGGGGACCAAATCCACGTCCTCCTAGCCAACATGGACGCAAACGGCAATGGTTCCGTGGAGTTCGACGAGTTGGTCAGTGCCATATTGCCCGATATGAACGAGGAGATTTTGGTAAACCAAGAGCAACTCTTGGAGGTTTTTCGCTCTTTTGATCGTGACGGTAATGGGTACATAACTGCGGCAGAGCTGGCAGGGTCCATGGCGAAAATGGGACAACCGTTGACGTATAAGGAGCTGACTGAGATGATCAAAGAGGCTGATACGGATGGAGATGGTGTCATTAGCTTCAATGAATTTGCTACAATAATGGCGAAATCAGCATCGAGTTTTCTAGGCCTTGCTCCCTCATGACCTGAGGTTTGGATAGAAATCTGATGATACATGCTAAGTTTTTTTGGCCTTGTAACATGTTCATCTCAATTGAATTTTCCAAGCAAACAATGTAGATTTTGATATGATTTTGTTTAATTTCTAACCACAAAACTAAATAATCAGAGTACTATTTATTTTCTTAATACATTTCTGTCATTTCATTAATTGTTGTATTTTGTTGCTATTAGTTTTACGTATGCTTCATTGCAAGCATTTTTTATTGTTAAATAACACTTTTAGCGCTTCTAGAAGCGTCTCAAATGTACGCTAATCCTTCATTGGATTTGTATAAAAAATATATTCGTTGAAACCTCCGTGTGGAATAGGAAGAAGGTTGCATGAATGTGTCAATTGGAGAAAACTCCAGAAACCCCCCAACTGCAATCATCTTTTGATTAACAAAATACAGAAACAGAACGAGTTTTATGCAGAAATGCATCGTTTCAACCTTCGTTGAACCACAGTACTTGTGAGTTTCCCCTTCTTGGATTTGGGACGACGAGAAGAATGAAATACTGAATCAGTAGTAAGCAAAAGGAGAATAAAAAAGAACTTATTGAATTGAATGAACTGAATTTTGTGTGGTATGATACATCTGATACATCATACATGATACAATATTTTGACTATACTGTTCTCTGCATGAACACTGAAGCTAGATCTTTGGAGCTTCTAGAAACCGAACCATCCTAAGCGAAAAAATTGGAAGGAAGAGAAGAAACTTCTTGCAGGAATAATGTACATTTCTTATAATAGGGATGTCAAAACAGGTCCGCTAATTAATGACCTTCGGGCTTCTCTACAAAGCGTTTAGATGTTGCTTCGATGCGGGCTGTGTAACCTACTGTTGTGCTTCTTATGGATCTTTGCCGCACCATTTGGCAGAACTCGGGGTCATCTGATTGCCCATCTGTTCTTATCCACTGTATCATCTGATGATACATGGGGAAAAACCGCATTTGGATGGCTGCGTAAGCAAAGTATGGCAGGAGGGAAGAGACCAAAACAAACAGTGTGAGAAGCCAATAAAACGGAGCTGGTGCGCAGGCTTCAATGAACACCTTATAGGCAGTGGTTGATATGTCAGGGTCAATGGCTCCATATGCCAACTGGAATATATACCAGAATATGATGCCACCCCAGATGAAGAGATGTTGTATATAAGTGAAGTAGTTGATGGACAGCGCCATTTGACAGTTGACAACCCATACCACACATGAGTACATCGTGGCACCAAAGATTTCCAAGCCAACAACTTGCCCGCCTTTACGAAAGGCTTGACTGCCCATTGCCACAACGCAGAAGAAGAAGACTAGGGTAGCAGTCACCGCCCCGTTCATTGCCCATCCAAGTATCCGGAGCCAGCTAAATAAGACGTTTTGCGCACCTTCTTGGTACAATAGCGGGAACTGTAAGATTGAGACAAAGAGAGAGACAAAAGATCAGTATAGGATGATATGCTATTTCTGATGTCTAATAAGATTCACATTTTTCACCAGTTATCTTTTTGGGTAAGAAGGGCCTACCTTGAGACAGAACTTGGCCGAGACATCTTGGTCAAAAACTCCCAAGGCAATCACCGGAAGTGACGTGAAGAAGACATTGTATAGTGACAGATACCAATCGTTGTACGCAGTTTGGCCCGAGAATGAAGCATATATCTGATAGAAGAAAATAGTGAAGCCAAAAGCAATGTTCTTGTAGAAGAAATAGCAGACCTGTCAAACAAGAAAAGGAGTATGTCAAATTTTCCATAGCATATAGTATAAATGTATCAATAGATTCTCAATAGAAGTCTGTATTTCTTTTTCTCTCCATGTGCAGGATGGGACTGCGCGTGAAGGAGTGTGTCAGCTTTCATATAACTAACCAAAGTTTTTGAAGTCTAATAGTTGTCTAACAGGGAGATGGAATCGAGAATAGCTGCTAAATGTATTACAGATTAATACAAGGAAAATGAGATAAACAAGCTAATTATATGAATTCTACAAAGAAAGGAATTTACCATTGATGAGATTCTTCTGTAACACCAATGGCCATGTACAAGTAGTAGGCGCTCCAAAAATCGGAACTGTGCAATTGCAATGTCGCTTGACATGACTGCCTGAAATTTTTGGTTGGCAGAAAGGATAAGTCAGAATTCATCAAGCGGAAGAAATTTTGAAATGGAAGTAACAGATGATGCGTGCTTTTTGTTAACAATTTACCTGCATTCCTTCAACACCGCTGATACCAACTCCGATATCTGCTTCTTGAAGCATTCCAACATCATTTGCCCCATCACCAACGGCCAGAGTTGTGTTGCCAGTTTTATCTTTTACCAGTCTTGCAACCTGCATTATTTTTAAACAAAACTGTTTAGGACTCGATCTTTTCAAAACCATATATCTATGAAAATAATTTGTTGGAACTTATTTAGTGGCGGGGAAGGGAAACAACTTACAAGTGCTTTCTGTTTGGGAGACGAACGACAGCATATAACAGATGCGCAGCCAATGGCAAGCTCTAGAAAGAGATCCTTGACATCGTTCTCTAAGGCATAAGCAAGCGAATTCCCATCAATGATCAAAGCCAGTGCCTGAGAGTTCTCTTCTGGTGCAGCAAGCAACGCCTTTCCCTGACTTATTTGATGGACTACACTTTCCTTCAATGCCTGTAGAATCAGCAAGGTTTCGTTAAACTCTCACAGCATGACATTTTATCAGCCAAGAGAGAACAATTTCGAACCATAGCATGTTAAAAGTCCGATTTAAGCGCCAATGCAATAACTAAAACAAGAGTCTATAATCCATTTACAGTACTACAGCCTGAATCACCTATTACACCATAAGATAGCTGAAGAGGAAGAAAGAGAATATTGCATAAGAAATTTGGTTTACCTTGGCAACTGCCGTCTTATCCTCCACCTTCTCTAATGCTTTAGCTTCTGCAGTCTCGGAGCTTATTACTATTTGTTTCATTCCTTGTCTAAGCAAACTGCACGCATATCTGGAAGAGAAACAACAAGCGAAAAGGTATGCGGTGAGAAATGTTATTATACTGAAATCCATCTTCTGCTACAAAACTGTTCACTAATCATATACCCAATATTAATCGCTGTCTCCATTTTATCTCCAGTCAGAACCCATATTTTAATTCCAGCCTGAGCAAGCTTGTCAATGCATTCGGGAACCTGTTCAGTACAGAAAAGAAGAAAAGAAAAAAAATGGTTTTTAGTCTTGAATGTTATACAAATCTCCAACAAAGAGCAGTACCAGTAAAAGTAAAAACGCACCCCATTTTGAAGTTTGTCTTCAACTGCAGTAGCACCAAGAAGAATCAAATCCCTCTCAATCTTCTCTGAAACTGCCTCGACAATTTCCTCCCGATCTGAACTCACCAAGGTTTTGGCCTCAGTGAATTCTTTATTGAACTCATCATATTCTTCTTCATCAAGTTCGCGATATGCAAGTACCAAAGTCCTCAAACCAGCGTCAGCATACTTGTTAATGTGTTCCCTAGTCTTCTCTTCAAACTCCCTTCCGTTCTTTGCAAGTCTTTCGAACATGACACTGTTTGTGGGATAAGCAAATTATACATAATGCGTGATACAACATACACAATTTCGTCCGATTATCAAGCTACTTAATTATACTAGCAAGGAGTAAGTTTACAAACCTGTCAGCGCCTTTGCATAGGAGTAGTATCTTTCCCTCTTCGTTTCTTATGATCACGGACATTCTCTTTCTTGAGCTACTAAACTCCAATATGTTCAAAAGTTTATAATTTCTGAAAAAAAGAAACACATATGCAGTTAAGTATTTATTTACGAAAATTCGACAATAGCTTGAGAATAACATAAATCATAGCCGCTAAACTGAAATGCAACATACCTTTCAATTTTTCTTCCATAAATGGGATCCAACTCGTGCAGTGAGATGCTTCCTTGAGTCCTTTCATAAAATTCAAACCCAAACTCTCTTGCTGCAATCACGAAAGCTGCCTCATCTGGTGATTCAGCTTCATATGATACTCTTCCAGTTTCTTCATCAACTTCTGGTATTGCGGTATGGCAGATTGCTAGTAACTGTAGAAACTTGTGGATTACATCTGCGCTGAGGCTCATTAACCCATTTTCCGTTCATAATCCTTTCATCCATAAAATTAAAGCCTTTTATCGTTGACTTGGCTTCATTCAGTTCTTCTTCTTCAACATGGATCTCTTCTTCTGTCAATTCCTCACCTTTTCTCCTGGCTAAGGCTCTCTCAACTTCTGTAACTCCGCGCCCAAAAGTAGTGCCAGGCAATAGAACACTTGATAAATTCCATCGAGTTGCAAGTTAATGTTCCGGTTTTATCTGAAAGAATAGTATCAACTTGGCCAAGTTCTTCATTCAAGTTTGAAGTACGCGCTCGGGCTGGCTTGTCAGTTTCCTCATAATACATGTGCACATCCTGGTTTATAAAAGTGGACTGAAGAACTTTGACAATTTCTATTGACACATACAAGGAAATGGGGATCAAATAACTATACAGCATAATGGCAGTTAAAAATTGCAAACTTGCTGCAAGTGGTGCCCTCGTCGGATCATAGTAAACTGTGGTATCATCTGGTCTGAGGTACCATCTGATCATTTTCCCATCATCCAGGTCTTTACTAGTATTAACCCCGAAGACAATAGCCCCAACAAAAGACATCACAACCAAGAGGAAAAACAAGAAGTAGATAATCTTATCCATCCGCTTCTCAACTTTGCTTCTCTTAGAAGGAGGATCTGTTGAATTCTGCATAACTTTTGTATCGTGACCTGTGAAGATTACCACCCCATATACAAAATCTGTGTTTCGCAGCTTTGAGTCTCGAAGCAGAAGCTGCTGTGGTGTAAGAGGGTACGGTTGATCTTCAATCTCCATACTGCCAACAAATGAGTACAAATTTGCATTTGGGTCTTCACATCTGATTACCGCCTTAAAATTCTTAAAGCTTGAGTCTTCGTGCAGATTAGAAGTCTCTTCCGGTGCTTGTTTTAGTTTCAAATTAGTTTCCCCATCAAGATTGGTGGTCTCAACATAGCAAAGCGCTTCGTCATAGCTTGATGAAAGTAAGATAAGATCAGCAGGAAAAAACCCGTCCTTTTCGACCTTCACTATATCCCCAACTTTCAAATCCCTCCATTTGGTATGCTCAAAATTGCCCTCACCATGATGCACCTTAACTTTGCTGTTGTTCATTTCAATGTCCTGATCAAAGTTTTACAAACTACATTACAGAACTGTTTTACCATTACTAATAGCACTAAATATAGTCAAATGCAGGACGTCCTGTCTTTCTTAAAACATGACGCGTTGGGAAAACTTCACTTCTACTCGATTTTCTTCAATTTTGATCGCATCTATTGACATGGTCGATTGTTTTAGCGAGTGGAGTCATTACTTAGAGCTTAGACATTACGTTTCTAGTCTCGAGTTGGTCACAATATTTGATACTAAAAACTAAATCGAAGCTCTAAACGACCATTCTATGCCCCGAAGAACCAATCATGACATAAAAATTATGAAATTTAGGTAGAAATGAGGTTTTCTCAAGGCGCGACGTCATGCACAGAGAATTTCTGTTATACTACATGAAAATGCATGAAACTCAAACATGTTGTTGACATTACAAAGTATACCTGTTTTTTCCTCCTCCAATCTTCAACAGCCTCCTTCCCCATCGTAACTCCAATCACGACGACGAGAGGGACGACGTTGCTGACGGCGGAGTAAGGCGAAAGCGGTGTAAAAGATAGAATTGCACAAATGAGGAAGTATAAATTGGCAACCCTTCTGAACTGCTCAAACACTGCCTTGGGCAAGAATGTAGCAAGTGTATACTTAGTCGTTCTGACATAATTGCCCTGGTAGCTGTGGAGTGTGGCCTCCAAGCGCTCAGGGTCATTACAGTAAACTACCCTCGAGAAACCAGGGCCGCCAATCCTTGAATGCTCGCCATTGAAGGAAGCTTTCCCACATGAAAAAGCATGGATTCGACTAAAATGCTGTTTTTTTCTTCTACCCCCACCTCCCATTTTGCTCAATCCACCACCTTAACACAACAACGGGTGCACACACCCACCACAATCCCCCACTCCGTTGAACAATTTCTCAATCCACCCAAGAACCAGTTTTTGAGGACAAATCTCAGAAACAGAAACCTGCCCAGTTCAGAAAATTGAATGATCTGCAAACCCAGCAAAACCCAGCAGGGAAAAAACCTGTTGAGCCAAAATATAAAACCCCAGAAGAAAAAGATTGAAGCTTTGTAATGAAAATTCAGAAACAGCACAAGAAGGCATTGCTTCAGTTATGCTTCTCACCTTATATTTTGGATTTTGATATTTTTTTTTTTTTCCTGTGTTTTTTAAGAAGCAGCGGGGGGATGACCAGCTTGCCAGCTTTGACTTGCAGGTGGAAAAGCACCAAACTTTGAACGTGGAAACCGGACAAGAAGGGGAGAGAGAGAGAGAGAGAGAGAGAGAGAGAGAGAGAGAGAGAGAGGAAACTCAACTACTAGCACTTGTTAAATGAATTGAAAGGGAAAGAGCTTCGAAGATGATTTCAACCTTTAAAATGCAATCTAAAGCAACAAAAAATTCTTAAAAATTCAACAATCTTGGTAAATAAATAGATGACTTTTGTGTCAATTGCCAAAAAAGTATGTTGGAGAAAGACTTGCCGTCCGGATCAAGCCTTCCAGAAGTTCTATAGTAAAGATATTTATCTAGAACCACTCAAGCTAAATTTTCTCACATGATAAGTTTGATAAATAGAAAAAAAAAAAAATTTCTCACATAATAATGTATAGTTTAATTAAGGAAACTTTAACGAAAAACTCACGATACTGTTCATTTTAACGAAAAATCATATTTTTATACTAAAAAATCAATCATGGTACTATTCACTTTACCCTTTATTATGTCCTTATCGTTAAAACTTAAAATTTTTAAAATTTTTTTTATTAGTTTTCCTTTTAATTAACTTGTACGTCATTCTCATAAGAACTAAGAAGGATGTGTAAAATTCATAAACAAAATTATAAAAAAAATAGAAAAAAGAAAAAAGGTTGTATCAAGGAGACTTTAATAGCCCCGGTTAAAGTAAAGCTTTTACCTTCGTGGAAGAACGTCAGTACGACAAAATAGAAATTTCAAAACTTACTTTCCTGGACAATTTATAATTTTATATCGTGAAATGGCGGCGCTATAACAAATGTAGAGTACCGTAATTTGCGGTTGCTGCACAAAGCTTTGCGGTTGCTGCACAAAGCTGGCTATCTTAATATGAAAATTTTACTATTTTTGCACATCCTCGATTATTTATATCTCTTGAATTTTCGTAAGAATGATATGTAGGACAAAAAGACAAAATTAGTATGAAAATTTTATTTTTCTAGCTCATTCCTGATTATTTGTAGTTCTTGATTTTTCTCTACTTTTTTTGCTTCAATAGTTAAAAATAGTCTACAAAAATTATCTTCTAAATAATATAATTGTCGTTTTGAGATTTTTTTTTGAATAAAATTGAAGCAAATAAAAAAGGAAAACTAATGAAAATGACTTGAAAATTGTGAGTTTTAACGATAAGGACAAAATAAAAGGTGAAGTAAATGGTACCAAAATTAATTTTTTAATGTAAAAATATAATTTTTCATTAAAATGAACAGCACCAAGAACTTTTCGTTAAAATTCTAATAAAAAAATGTGCAAGGAAAAGCTCGTGGTAGCTGGCTGTCAAAAATAATTAAAACGACATGTTGTGGAAGCGAGGTAGGAGGGTCAAACAAGACCAATCACGTGCTCTAATTAATCATTTTATTAAGTAATCAGTAATTAAGAGAGAATTTTGGCAGACAAGTTTGACTAATAAGGATAGTTCCTCTGTTTAATGTGGACTAACTGGTTCATGCCAACCCTAATTGTACAAAGTCTTTTTCCTTTTATGGAGTGATTTCTGTGTTATCGAAAGTAAAAGGAGATTCTTATATGTGATCGACAAATCATTTTCTATCTTATTCGTGATGTGATCATTTGATGAGTAAGATTGAGAAATGAGAACTATGCAATAAATTAAGTGAGATAGAAATGGGGATGTAAGTTTTAGGAGTATATACAAGATTTGAACTTTGCGCTTAACGTTAAATTATAAGTCTTTTAAATAGAAACAAAAAACGAAACCCGTAAAAAAAAGAAATTGAATTTTTTCATTGAGGAATTTCGTCGAACACTAACGTATTGTTAACAGCCAAATCATGTTACGCACATGTCAACAAATATCAACTTATGCAGAAGCAATCTGATAAGTGATATCTAGTTTGTCGAGTGTTGTCGACACAATCTGTGGACGAATGCCTAACAAACATTACATGAAACACTTGATAAATGCCAAAAGAACCCGTACCAAATATTCAAAAGGTCCTCGAAAGACATTCAAATGTATACAGACTCCTCGTTGTCTGGAACCAAGGATATAACCGTCCACAAATCTTGTTTCTTTGAACCTACCTTTTTTTTAAACACGGCACCTACTTTTCTTTTGCTAAAGATATACCTAGTTTTTCATTCGATTAACAGAGATTTCAAATTTTGCAAATATACCCACTAACTATACATATATTACCTCAACGGCAATATTACATCCAACTGCAGTAATGTTTCAGACTCTTACATGCATACAAGGTGACTGCTGAATCCTACTGTCCAGCAAACATCTAATTTCAGTTATAAGTATCGAAACACAAGCGCCACGGCAAAGCTTCCCAATCAACGAAACAATACGGCCGGCATCCGGCCCGTCATTCTAAACCTTGTGCAAATAGATGCACTGTTTAAGGAAATAGTACATCACTTTCAATCTCGCCTTCTGTGCTTGTCTCTCCTGGATTCTGAACGTTCCTTCTCGGGGGAGTCTCTGCTTCGATGTTTATGATGCTTCGAGTGTTTTCTGCTACTACTGCTCTTTTCTCGAGAGGATCCTTTCTTCTTCCCTTTAGACCTAGAACGGTGATGGTCCCAATGATCACTGGATGAATCGCTATCTGAATCACTGTGTCTATGCCGATGTCTCCTAGAGCGCTTTCTGCTCCTTTCATCTTCTGATGATGGACTGCTGCTCACATTCTGGTGCCGCCTTGAGGGTGTTTTGTCCTTCCTATCTTCCTGAGGTGCTTTTTGAAAAATAATCTTGTCAAACTGATTCCCCAAAGCATCCTTCTCTGCGTTTTTGCTATTACTTCTCGCTGAATTACCCGTCAAGTTACCATTAAAAGGTTCGGTATTGTCACGTGGAGCATCTTGAGAACTTTCCGATCTGTGTGAAATATCGCGAGTGGAAGGTGGCTTATTATCAACTGGCAGGATACTGGAATGTCCTGAACCAGCTCCCTTGGGAGGCGAAGAAGTCCTGGCTTTGTTCGTTGATGAGGGCAGCTCAGGGGGAACCTCTAGGCCTAGTTCTTTTCCTAAGGATTCCAAAAAGTCGCCTGCGATCAAACGGTTTAATGTTGTATTAGCTGCTTCAACCTTCTTCTCTGGCTTACCGACCCCTTTGGGAATAGAGGCATCCTCATCATCATCCTCGTCATCAGAAAATATAGCCTGCACACAAATGAAGATTAATACTAGGCCATATTCTACGCCACGTATAACATATGCATGTAAAAACAAATTATTGAATATTGTGTTTAAAGCACCTTGTAAAGGTCAACTGGCCTCTCGACGTTTTCAACTTCAACATCAATTGCGCTTTCCTCGTCAACTACATCTTTGCTTATTCCCTGGGCATAAGATTGAACAGCAGGGATGTAGTCTCTCTTTACAATTACAGTTTCTTCTGCTTTTGTGTCTTTTCCAGAATCTGATGTAAAAATCAGAGTTTCAATTTTGCTCTTCATCCGTGGAGCTGGTGGTGGCTGCATGTGACAGTATCATATGTTTAAGGTATGGTGATAAGAAAAATGTTGAGAGAGAGAGAGAGAGAGAGAGGAGTTATAGAGGAGTATTCAACTGCACCTTCCCCATGAAAGGATCGATGAGATCAAAGCGTTTGCATAAAATAGGTGAAGGACGCCACTGATATTCTGTCCGTTTTATGCAAACTTCCTTTTTTATCGATTTTTCAGCTTGAGTGTCTTTGGCTTGCTGTTTTAAAAAATAAGAAACCAAATAATTAAATAAATAAATAAAATCACACTTACAACTTCAAAACCTTATAACCAACAGCAAAACATACCGCTGATCCCCCAGAAGTAAACTGCATGGCTCCAGCAGATAAAAAATCCATGAACTGTGATGTGGAGAGTTTGCTTTCTTTACTCCATTTCCCTTTCTGTATTGCATCGGCTGCAGCCTCAAAGTCCAATCTCTCACGAGCACGAACTGCTTCTGACATATGACTAGCTCCGCCAGACTCAGTAGATCGAAGTCCTCCTTGATACTTCTCCTTGAGAAACCGCTCAAACCTTTCTTGCTTTGCAGGATCATCATTGAAAGGCTTTGCAACTTCCAGCATCTCGCCCTATATTCAACACAAAAAACAAGGTGAAAAAATCTAAAACTTTCCTTGAGTAAACACAACCCAGTTCTTTCGTTCATTCATACAAATATGAAAGACTATTGGTAGCTAAGGCAATGCATAAGTAAACCAAGGACATTACAATCTAGATTCGCAAAAAATTTATGAAAATAAACATTTGAGAAAGGGGACAAGCAAGATGTATTGTACTCACATCTAATGCAGGTTTAGTAAAAGTATCTGAAAGATTGTACTGAAGCTGAATGGCATCTTTAGAAGCAACGGATGAATTTGACTCTTTGGAGCTTCGTTCCAAAGGCCTTTCCCCTAAAATTTTTCCACGGTTCTCTGCTGTCATCTTCTGCTTTCGTGGAGACAATTTACCATCCAATATCTCCTTGGTGTGATTGCCTCGCTTCTGTCGCTCCTCCCACAGTTTCCTTGCATAATAATCATGGCCATTCCCTCCAACTAGAAAACTAAACAAGGGATTTGACTGATTTTTCTCTCTGGAGAGATCCTCAAATAATTTACCACATCGAGCTACTAAAGTTGCAACCCCGTCAATTAAGAGTTTCAGATTATTATCTTCGGGAGGAGATACTTCTGGGGGACCAGGATCTCCAAGCTTGTAGCCCGTATCAAGAGGCTGAGAAAACTTATGGTGGGGTACAAAATCTTTTGGTACTACAGGAGGATCAAATCTGGAACAAATCCCAGAGTAGTAGTTAGCATTTATGCATTCAGAAAAAAAAAAAAACAAGTGGAAGGATCACTCTTTTCAGCATACTTGCATGAATATAAAGTTAATAAATCAATGAAAAAAAGGCAACTCACATGCACCAGAATACCAAAACCTCTCATTACCTCTCATGCTGGTAGTCTGAGTTAGATGCAAGTCTAAATCCAGAGAGACCACCCGGTTCCTTTCGAACCAACTTTTGCTTGCTATCCATGATTGATCTTGAAGGCTCATCGTCAATATCTTCAACATAAGTTTCCTCAAAGTCGTAACCTGAACAAGAAGTACAATTGCAAAAATTTGAGCACTAATAATCAATAATTTTCAACAAAAAGGTAACCTGGTTAAGCCGAAATTAATCCCACCAACAGGTCTAATCACTACAGAACTATACGTCTTTACCCAGTAAATCACAAGCTGTGGGATATATCATGCAAAATGAAGAAAAAAATGCGATGGAGCAATCTGTGGTCTGAATAAAGGGAAGGGGAAAGCATTGATTAAATTAATCACATCTTGAGTAGTTTCTCCCAGAAAACATAATAGGGAAAGACCAGCACCAAAACCACAAAGTGATTCTATGCAATGAAAGCAATGACTCTATAATAGCTATATTACTGCAAAGATTGATTATTCGTGACAATAACACTAACCCGAGTTATAAACATCCTCATCTTCAGCATCAAGTTCTTCAAGTGCTCCAATTCCAAAACCAGGAGCAACCTTTCCTGCTGATGAATAACAAGATAAATCAATCATAAGTTAAGGCCAACCAATCCGTGCGACCAAATAAAAGCAATAAGAGGACAGAGCCCTAAATTAGAAGGCCAAAAAAAAAAGTTTTTTATCTGGATCATAAATCTTACACTTGAAGCCAAAAAGATTATTGTCCATTGAACGGGCACTTCTATATCCAGTACCCCTATTCTCAGATGGGCGTGATCTCTTCTTATCTGAACAAAACCAATTAAAATTAGTAGTTAGGATGCATTAGATTGTCATAATCACAGAACTATGACCCAGTTATCTTAAAAATAAATAAACACTTACCCCTAAACTCAGGAGCATGCTTATAAGGATCAAAACCTAATCCATGAAGGTCCTGCTTTGGGTAGAGTACATAAACCTGAAGGAAAAGATGTGAGGCACAGAGAAAATCCAACCAAAATAAAATGAAATTTTTATCTCATGCTGAATAGGGGTCCTTCTTGTCAAAATTTGAATTGATAAAAGATATGGAAATTCTTGAGTTGCTACAAGCTCCAAATTGGTAAGTTGCAAAAGCAATGCGGTCTTTCTGTTATTGGAAAGAAATCATTGGAAACCCAGCAGTACAATTATGTTAAAAGAACAAATGGATCCGGGGATGAAGTATCCAGTGGCTGCCACTCCTCAAAAGAAGGCTAGCACAAAATCCTAATGGTTAAAGGAACTCATCAAGAAAACAAGCACTGGCAGGACAAAGAAATTTGATACTAAAAGAAAAAAAAATTTAGACGTTCCAAAACTCCAACTCAACTTATGAATTAAACATATACACAAGAGGATCATCTGTTCTGTTAACATAGCATGAGAATTATCCATTGTGATTGAAATACCGAATCAAGAAAGAAAACAAAAAAATAAAAGAATGACTGACATGGAAAAGAAAATTTACTTACAGGTGTGCTTTGAGAAGATTGAACATCATCAACGGCAGGCAGCTCAATATGATTCTCCAGTTCGCCATGAACGGGCTCAGAGTCAGCCAGCTGTGTTTTTGCATCACTGGAAGAAAATGCTAAAAAAGCTTTTCGAGCTTCCCTTCGAGCATCTGTACGAAGGACATGAAATAGTTTAAGGCTTTAAGCCATGACAGAAAAACCTCGAACAAGAGAAATCAGATGAAACTGTATGTATTCTGGTAAGCCCACACATGCTAATCAAAGTTAGCAAAGCACCGCATACTAATGATCTAAGTTCCAGGTTATAAAATAAGCATATAATTCACACACGTCAAATGATACAAGAGCAGTTGATTTTATAACAACTTTGAGTTTGCATGCCACGTACCGTATGATAAATCAGTATGTGAATCCTTGATTGAACGACCATGACGCCATCCCATCTTCAGCAGCAATTTTACACCTAATAAAAACAGCAAGCAGGGGATAAAAGATGTGCAACTAATAACTTTAAAGAAAACATTATTTGAACAATCACTAACCCAAATTTACAGAAACAAACCTATAGAATCTGTGGCTGGAAGAACTAATTCATCAGGAACAGGTCCAGGAATCGCTGACGGCCTAAAATACATGACAAACAAGATATCAACAAGTTAGCAAACAATGCATGACACTATTTTCAAGGAGTACATTTAAAAAAAATATGTATACTTAATACCCGAACAACTTAATTGTGTTCAGCAATGGTGTGAAAGTATTACAACTCCCTAGAACCTAAAGGTTAGGGTACACCGAAAAGTAGCATGCAGAACCTTATCATTTTTATCCAAATGACTAACTTGGTTATATTGCAATTGACCTACACCCCAACCTTTTCTGTTGTTCCTTCTCAGCTTGTTTACGAGCAAGTTCAGCAGCTGTAGATCCAAATGTATCAAACTGCATGGATGTCCCCAAAGATTGGCCTTCAAGCTCCTAAATGTTAAGAAGAAGAGTCAGAAAACTGATTTAAAATCTAAAGTGGCGGTAGTCCTCATTATCTAGCATCTGGAGGAACTCCATGGTCATCCGATATGATACCTAAAGAACTCAAAACATAAGTATACTACTCATTTTTTTAAGAGCTAGACAACAGTAAACATTACATGAGAAAGAAAATTACCCTATTTCCTACTTTTAATCCATTTTTTTGCTAAATGAGAATTCTTATATAATTGAAACCAAATTAAGGTTGTGATTTTCCAACGAATAGGTTTTCATTCCCTTCGTTCTAAAGTTTATATTAGGTAAATAGAATAAATAAACATGAAATAAGCATGCATATACATGTAATTTACCAATTTAAAAGGCGATGATTCCAACATTAACAGTGTTTGTAATATATTCACAGAGTTGAAGGATATAAATGAAATAGGTGTAAAAGGTCAAAGCCAAGATCAAACATACAGCTCTTTCATCTTCATCTAAAAAGTTTATAATGTCCTGCGTTTTGACTTCAGCTCTGTTCTTCCGCGATGACACAAAAGTCTGTGGTGTCCACCCTGCACATTTGTATCAGACGGCTTAAACCATTAGCTACCCTTGAACATCTTAAGAAAAGGAATCATATTTCTAGTTCAAATGAAAGAGTGATGTAACAATACCCTCTTTTGAGCCAACTGTATTGTAATAGCCGGCAGAAAACCCTCCGCTAAATGCACCATGAAATCTCCTTCTCCCTTCTTCATCTCTAACCTGGAGACATATAAAATTTAGAGAAGTGAACAAGACTGTTCATTTAAACATCAACAGTCAGCAGAACCATGGAAAACTTATTAAAGCTTAACTTCATGCATAATAAACTTCGTTCAATAAAGATAGCATAAATTGGCATCCCACATGCATCACTCATCATAATTCCGCTATACGAGGTTAGCCAATTATCATCTTCGATGTCAAAATTCGAAAGGGAAAACAACCCATTTCAACCTGCAGCTAGTTCACCCAAAATAAGTCCACAATTTCGTATTCCTTTTCAAATTTTCTCATCAACCAACCACATTACTAAAACTACCAATTGCAAACTCTCTTTCTTCACATTAAAACCAATTGCACAACTTCTAAGCTCAACACAACTGACATTAAAACTCAACTGTCATACTCCAATACATAACATTCAAATTTCTCCATTCTTTCAACTTTCTCGAGCTTTCTCAGGAACCAAACAAAAGATAAGAGCAAAAACATACCTCTTGCTTCCAAGGAACGACAGTGCGCAAGTTACCGGAGGCCTCGGCTACGGACTTCTTCTTGCGACTGGTGAAATCTTCCTCCCGCTCTATCGGTGTTCCGTAGAACACGAAATCGTCTTCGTCCGAAGCCATTGTTTGATTAATTTCTTAATATATTGATAATTAAGAAAAATTATGCGCAATCAAAATTAATTAAGGATTAGGGTTTCGTCCGGAGTAATCGTTGCAGGGCGAGCAGGCGCGGCAAAGCCCTGAGAGAACGAGGGAGGGAGGTGAGCGAGGTCGAAGGAAGCGAGAGAAAACGTCGAAGTATTTTTGGACCGGAAAAAAAAATGTATTTTGGGCTAGACTGATTGGGCCGGATGGGATTGGCGGTCGACTCACTGAGTATGAGGCCGCCCTTTTTATGCAATCTTTGGGCTGATTGGCCTGATTAATTTGGTCTGGACTTACAACACAAAATATAATTATTCATTTTTTCCAACTTTTTTCTTTGTTGGATTTTTTTTTTCCAACCAATTGCAGACAAAAAAAAATTATATAATAAGAAGGAATGAAATCAAATAACCACATACTGATAATATTGTTTGTTAAAAAAATCAATTATTTTGTTTAATTGCAAATTGGAACCAAAATTATCTAATTTCTTACTTGGTCATTACTAATAATTACCTTTATATTCAAACCTTAGACCTTACACACAAAACAAAAAACATTATATGTAAAATTTGAACAAAAAGAACTTGCATTTTAAGTGGTTATATTGATTGTTTGAAAGTGCTTTTAAAATGGCTAAAAAGGATTTTGGTGAAAATGCTTTTGAATCATCTTTAGTAAAATGTTGAGTGAATCCCGGAAAGATATTTTGGGCTCGTTTGAATGTACTTTTAAAATTACTAAAAACGCTTTTAGAAAAAATGTTTTTTGGTTCCAAAAGCACTTTAAGTGCTTTTCCAAAATTTACTTGTATTTTTACTAAGAATTGGTTTCAAAAACATTTTCATCAAAAATGTTTTCAGTCATTTCAAAAGTACATCCAAACGAGCTCAATGCTTCATGCAATAAGCATATAATTTGTGCTTCTTGCATAAAGCACTTTAGTGCTTTTAGAACTCAAATTTTGTCGGAGATGATTAAATTAAGGTGCTTAAATTTATGAAGCACTTTAGTGCTTTTAGAACTCAATTTTTGTTGGAGATGATTAAATTAAGGTGCTTGAATTTTACATTGTTTTAATCAAACTTCTATGCCTTTTCAAATTATAATTAAGGCGCTTTGACTGGGTGCCACATCAGTTTTTTTTTTAATCAATTTTTATGTCATTAATATATTTCTCGAAATAAAAATGCTACATATTGAATTCCGAATTTATCCTCCTATTCGGAGGTTTTTTTATTTTTTATATAATTATTAGTTGTGTTTATCCAGATTCATTCTTACTTCTAAAATTCGGATGGGCTCTACCATTTGAATTAGTGGTTGCTTTCATAAATTTATTTATTGACATTTGAATAGTAATCCACTTTTGAGGTATTTTAGGTTTATTGCTGCTTGATGTTTTCGATGTTTTCTGCTACTTGTGGGTGCGGCTGGTAAGTTGCTGTTTATTTATTTATTTTTCTACTCTTCTTCTTCTTCAAATTTCTTTCCTTGTTGTCTAACCGATGCTTCTAATTTGGGGCATGATGCTTGGTGAGCAACCCTTAGTTTGGTATGGCAAAAATGATAGCATTACAAATGAGAGTGTCACCGGCCGCATTAGCTAGTCAAACAAAAGTTTGTAGGAGGCAATATCTTCAAACATACCAAATAGGAACCACCTCGCCCACGAGGCATGTTTCTATGAAGGATGAAGAACGCATTTGGGCAATTTATAACGTACCAAATGAATGATATGTCTTACAATATTATTATTTAATGTACCAAATGTGACAGGCCGTCCCAGATTTTTCATATCGTAGGGGTGAAATGACGGTTTTGCCCCTAGTATGCTTGTTTCGTTGTGTGGTTGTTTTGGGTTTTGTTTGGCTGGTTTTGGACCACACACACTCTCCCACACCCCCACCATTTTCCTGTCTCGTATCCCTGTCCCTTTCTCTCTCTCTCTCCCATTTCTATCCCCATATGTACGGACACACCCAAAACCATTGAAACCTTCACAGATCGAGGAAACAATTTACATATTCGTGCTCGTGAGGTCCTTGAGAGTTCAACCATACTCATTTCAGGTAAGGATACCTTCGTTTTCACGTCGAACTTGGGATACCCCGATTTGGTCACTGTTCATGCACACGTTAATTCTTGTGTTTTTGGGAATTTCAAGCTTGTAGGAAGCTTGGTGAGGTCCTTAGGAGGCTCGGGGTGGTTCGTTTGAAGGTTTTGGACGTCGGGATCGTGAGTTACAAGCTTGGTCGGAGTTGGTGGTGTTTTCCCTACGAGATTCCGTGGATTTTAGTGCTTGAAAGTGGTATGGATTTGTTCCTCTTGTTGTAAGCTTCATTTTGGTACCAATTTTGTGAAATTTGGTTGAAAAACGAAGAAGATACAAGGTTTTAAAGTTTTCCCGATTTTCCGGCATCGGAGTTTTGCCGGAGAAGATGACAGAATATTTTATCAGTTTGGACGGAATATTCTTAATGGCGTTAACGGAATCCGTCAGAGTTAACGGAATATTCTTGACGGCGTTAATTGACGTCATCAGTGTGCTAAGCACGTGCCTGCGCGTGGGCGGCGCGTGTGGTTGTGCCTTGGCCGGCTCGTGGGGACGCGTGCGGCGTCGAAAAATTATTTTAAAAATATGGGGATGTTCACGAGGTTGAGTAGATCATTTTGGTCTATTCATACACCCCATTTGAGCATTGTATGAGAAGTTATTTCGTGATGTTGGTTATGTGCTTTAAAATTAACGTTTTTATAGTTGTTTTGCATATAGGTGAGACCTATCCCGAGGATGAGCGCGGTCACTCGAGGCAAGAGGGTTACGACCCTTCTACATACCAGTGAGTGGGCTTTTGGTTTTCCGTATATACCTATATACTTATGCTTTTCCTAGAAAGTGAAATGAAATGTTTATACGTTTACATGCCATGCCTATTGTTTGCCATTTATTTACGCATTATTAGTCGCATATGTATATATATGTTTGGTGCTGCGGACGCACATGTAAGTGTCAGGAGAGTTATGATTTAGGTTTATGTTCAGTAGTGAGTTGAGATGCATAGAGAGCTCATAACCTGTACCCCCGGTGTTAGTGCTCCCGCCCAGAGTTGGGCACAGCCCTTCACATGATATTCACCTCCCGCACCACACGCTCATCTTGGATCCAAGTTAGGTGCACAGTCCTGTCGTACATACCACTTTAGGTGGTTCCGACTCGTAGGTGACCCACGATTATTTGCCCAGCCTTCACGTGATCGTAGCACTTGAGCGTACTTATATTACACCTAGTCCTGTCGTACAGACCACTTTAGGTGGTTCCGACTCGTGTGCAGATATAGTTAATGAGATGGAGATTTGAGCTCTAGATTCAGCCATACAGGTCACGTTAGGTGGCTTCGGCTGACAGATTACATGGCATTGATTTGACATTTCCTGAGCACTTGCATTTTATTTCGAGGCTTTTGGCATGACATATTTCTGAGCATGACTTATATATATATATATATATATATGTATACTCTATTTTTCTGGGAAGTATACAGGTTTTACGGCGAGGGGTTAGAATCTTGTTTATGAAATGGTTTTTGAAAAGCTTTGTTTTTGCCCACTCACACTTTTTGTTTTGCGCCCCTCCAGGTTCTAGTTGGCTAGCACTTTTGGTGGCTCCCCAGAGGATTTCCCCGACATATCTGACAGATTATCACCAGTGTAGGATCACCTTTGGGTGTGTTTTTGTAGTGTTATTTCTCCCGGACTGCATTAGGTCTTCGAGCTCTGAACTTTGTTTTTCACACTTGCGCTTGCACATGTATATTCTTACTTTGTGTAAAGCTGGTTTTTATTTATTCGTACTTTTATTATTATTTTATTAGCTTCCGCACTGTGCACATGGTTACGTCACTTCCACGTGATGGCCAGCATGTCCTGATCTCGATCGAGGTGTGTCACCAAATAATTGGTATGAATAAATTAATACATGTATTTTATACATCTCAACCAAACTTCAATTGACAGGATCGGTTTTGTTTAGAAAAAAATATTAATTACAAGATTGGTACGTTTAGTTATGCCTTTAAATGTACCAAAGCATTTGAGATAAAATGCACCCAAGAATCAAATTAATAAGAAAAAGGTACGTTAGAAGTTATAATTTAGTACGTTTGTTGGAAGGTATTTGGTACGGTTGTCAATAATTGAGTACGTCTGTTTAAAGTTATTAGATACATTTTAAATTTTTTATTGATAGTTTTCCAAATAGGTACGTTAACAGTGGTATACATTTTTAGTGTACCGAGCGGGTTTGTATATCATATTCAACTTGGGTACAATTGTTGTCATATATTGAGTAAGCAACCATTAACAATTCAAATTCAAAAGCCATTAAAATAATATTTCCAGATAATTCCAAGGATAACAACAAAATAAAAAGGATAATGACAATTTTTAATGGAATTGAAATACTAAATTCAAAAGGAAAAAATCTGCTAGTAAAAATAAATAAGTTCTCAATGCTTGAAAGAATGATAGTGTCCGTAAATTTTAGAAAAACGAAATTATCTTTTGTAATCTACTTGGCTCCTCAATGAGAGGAGGTGGTACAATCTAAAACGTAAAACCTACATATGTTTAATCAAACAAGTTGAGGGAATGAGGCACTAATATCAGAAGCTCCAATTTTTTTTATCTAAAAGTATTTTTCAGTTATTTTATAAACAATTTCAAAAGAGAATCCGACAATGATCTTGGTAAACCAAAATCATCCCAAAGTTAATTTCGGGTGATTTTCTCAAACGCGCCAAATCGCCATTGGTTCTTTCTCTGGAAGAAGAGAGAGTAGAACACTCTCGCTAAGAAAACCAAACAATCCCTGAAAACCTCCACGACTCCCCACTCCGCGTGCGCAACACCCGCTAACCACTCGCACCCCGAAAACACGGACGTCGAAAATTCCTCCACGACGCGCGTGGCGGACTCGTAAATCAACGCGCTTTTGGGGGTGAGTTGTTTCGTTTGCCCTAATCGCCTGCGAGCGAGATCTGGCTCTCTTATCCTGAAGAACCCAACGCCCTTCCCCTGATAAATCCATATATTCAACACCATGGCCTCCTTCCGATTTGTGATCTTCCTGCAACTCGGATCGTTGTCGATCGGTTGATTGATTCGTCGTTTACGCTGTCCGATTCGTGTTCTCTCGCTCTCCGATTCAACTCGGTTATCAGGTCAGTTGTCTCGGTTCTGCGGGAATCTTCAGATCTGTGATATCTTTTTTCCGTTTTGTATATTTCCGGTGAACTCTTGAATATGTAGATGTTGATTTCGAGGGCTTTACGGTGTGCGCAGGTTCAGGATGGATACGATGGACATCATCGGGAAGTCAAAGGAAGATGCTTCGCTTCCGAAAGGTAGATTTGTAATTTTTGTATTTTTAATTGTTTGATTTTTGAGATTATTGTTGTTAGGTTTATCGATTTCATGATTTTTTTTTTTGTTAATTTGGTGTAATTATCTTTGGATTTTGTGATAGAACGGTTTTGGCAACATTAGTGCCCTAGGGTTTGGGGATTTGCTGCTGTTCTTCATTTTTTGCTAATTGCTTATGTAAATTGATTAATTAAAGCTCGATTGAAAATAATGATGGACAAAATCTAGTATATTGAATTAAGGGCTTCAAGAAATTGATTTATCGGATACGAAATAGCGGGTAGAACGGTATAAACAAAGGGAATACAATTTTGATTTGGATGGAGTAGGTATGCATGGTTTGCTTGCTGGTCAGGGGCCCCGAATTTGCTTTAAGGACTGCTTTCAGCATGTGATTAGAACTGTCATTAGGTTGGGTGCTAGTTCATGTTTCCTCATGTTGAGGCAACCCCTTTAACCGGGCGCGACAAATTATTTTTGCGTTTACTTGTCTAGTCATATGTCCCTGTAATCATTTATCTCTATCACTTAATGATATTAGTCTTTACTTTTATCATCTCTAGTTGTTGCTCCTCATGGTTTCTTTATGTTCTTGAATTCCCCATATGGCATCTTATACTGTTTAGGGTTAAAAACTTTTTTGGTCACTGTGTTTATACCTAAGATCTATTTTGGTCACTGTGTTTTCAATTCGTCCATTTGTTCACTGTGTTTCTCAAAGTTTGCAATCTCAGTCGCTTGCGTTGACTTTCAGTTAGATACATTAAATATTCATTAATCAATTAAAAAAAAAGTTAATGTAAAAAGATTTAAAATACATTTTTGGACCAAAGGCAAGGGGAGATCAGAGGGTAGAATCTGGAGAAAAAAAGGGAGATCAAGGGGTAGAATCTGGAGAAGTGGGTTAGGACTACCACCACCCCTACACCGATCAACCATCTCTATCTTTCTGATGATCTTTTGGGAGCATAGTAACTGATATTGAATTTTTGTATCGGTAAGGGGCTTTGGGCATTTTAGGTTGGTGGAGGGAGATGTTTGTGGGAGCACTGGGAGGTGGGGTGGGATTTGTGGAGGGGATGAAAGAGAGGAGATACTGTTAAATGAGAGATACTGATCTGGGTTGGTGGGCAGTTGGGGGCGGCGGTGGTGATTTTCTTTTTTCAGTTTTTTTTTTTTTTTTAAGTATTTTAATTTTAGAAAATGTGTTTAAAATTGACTTGAAGTACTTTTTATAATTTTAAAATTGGTTAAAAATATTTTAATATTACATTTAACAGAAAGTTAACGGAAATGACTGGGATTGCAAACTTTGCTAAACACAGTGACCAAATCAGATGAATTGAAAACACAGTGACTAAAATAGATTTTAGGTATAAAAACAGGTTTTTAAACCTACTGTTTATTGTACACTATATTGCCACCATATGTACGTCTAGCTTATGATTAATATTCATTTTTTCAGCAACCATGACGAAAATCATTAAAGAGATGTTACCACCAGATGTACGCGTTGCAAGAGATGCTCAAGATCTTTTGATTGAGTGTTGTGTAGGTGAGAATATATGAATTTGTTATCTTTAGTTTACGCTTTTACGTTTGTACTTTGATTCAAACTTGCTTTAGTTTTGCTATTGCTGATGCATATATCTTTGTCTCTTGCTGTCTGTATAGATTAAACCCTTATCTGTTTAGGCCAATAGCATGTTCTGCATGTCAAACGTAGTAGTTTCAGTTAATACACAAGATGCTTTTTTGGATTCCAATACAAATGTGACATGTATTATTTGAATAAGCTTGAAGCAACGTTAAAATAAAGTTACTATTTCAGTTTTTCTGAGATTTTTATTATCAGTTATAGCAGTTGGATTTCCTCCCAACCTCTTTGTTTGCCCCGTAACTTTGGGTTTTGAATTGTTGTCTACTGTCTTGGTGCTTTGATTTGATGGATGCTTTATTTTCTTTATTACTGAAGAAAAGCCTTCATGAGTTACGTTATTGCTTTTGCAGAGTTTATAAATCTCATCTCGTCAGAGTCAAATGAAGTTTGTAGCAGAGAGGAGAAAAGAACAATAGCTCCTGAGCATGTAATCAAGGCTTTACAGGTTTGTAAACAACCCATTTGGACATGTTTTTTAAGTTTTATAAATATGGTTCTCGTAAATTGTTGTTGTCCATGGTGCTTCTGTACTTTCATATTGCAGTATCAGTCATTATGTCTATGAGTCTGTGCATATGGATGTATCTTTATACTTGTAGGCATTACCTACATGAATTTCATACTTCTATCGTGATAGCTATCATGACATTGGATCCTCGATGAGATGCATATCTGTACGATAAGCTTAAATTGTTACCACTGATTTGTGTGTATACCAAGAATGGAAGGTAGTTTGTTAGTATTGTAATTAGTGGCAAGGAGCAAATATGTCCTATACCGTGTGACATGTTTACGACAACTGCATTATGACATTCGTTCTCTTCTGTGTTATCAGGTTCTTGGGTTTAGCGAGTACATTGAGGAAGTTTACTCAGCATATGAACAACACAAGCTTGAGACTATGGTAAGTGTTCACGATGTTGTGCCTTCTGTGCAGCTGGTTTAAACCTGCAGTTGCCTCTATCTATGTACACATGCTTGCACACTCCCGCACTTACAACTAGTTAACTGGTTCACATATCTATCTTTAATTTGTTAAGCAGTCGTGATCTTCCAACATAGAAGTATGTACTGATGCAAGCAGGATTCCTTCTTGCAGCATGACTTATCAAAAAGTGTCAAATGGGGGAACGGAACAGAGATGACAGAGGAAGAAGCCTTGGCTGAGCAGCAGAGGATGTTTGCCGAGGCACGTGCCAGAATGAATGGTGGTGCCACTGCACCCAAGCAACCAGATCCCGAACAAAGTTTAGAGAGCTAACTTTAGGACCTTTACTTTTTTGTGAACCGTAGGCAAGTATCCTTGACTTATCGATTTGTGCTTCTCGTATATGTACAAAAAAAGGAAAAAACCATTGAGTAGTGAGTGTGCTGGTCTATGCCCTTATGCACGCTTAAGTTGTATTTTCTTTATGGATCCATGTCTATAAGTTAATGTAATTAGTAGAGTTTGTCCGACTCCTGGTGCCGCCACTGTATGTAATTATTTGGCGCTGTTTAGTTAATAGTTTGGACGACAGAGCTCGTTCGCATGGTTACTCGCGTCTGTGCTTTCTTTTTGCTCTCACAAAACATCTAACGCGATGCAACAAGAGTGTTTTCTTAGGCTTTCGGGTTGTCCAGTGGGGTGTTACGAATGGTTACAACCGAACCTTTCGGTGAAAAAATCGTTCCTCATAAAACTCAAACCGGCAGCACCAACAGATGTGGTGTGGTGGTGTGGTGTGGTAAGGCCACATTGAGAGACTTACAAATTGGTTCTACTCGATAAGGAAAAGAGTTAGGGTTTGGTTTTTGGGTCCCCACAAACATTGAGGTGTCAGTTCGCAGGTAGGTGAAGTGTAGACTCTGCACCCAACATAGCCCAAGAAATTTCAGTGTTCTCATGAGAACCCCAACAAGCAACACCACCACACACCTCGTGCACCTCTCGACTAGAAGAGGACGTGGGCATGGGCATGGTATGGTCCATGGTGAGAATCTTACAAACCACGCACTATGACAGTATTTGAAACCAATCACGCAATGTCATCTAGAATAGTTTGTGAATATATCGTAAGTTAATGATACGTTGTAATGCATTTTGACTTTCTTGCAAGATAATCTGCGTAACTAGTTTGAAATACTATCACAATAATGTCCCGATAGTAGATTAGTCTCTCTCATTGTATTGGTATGGGTACATAAACTAATCAAGCATTCAAGTATATGAAAGTTTTTGGTACTGTCGCAGGTGAATGAAACAGCACGGTGAGCTTTTACTATCTCACATAATAATGATTGATTTAGAATATCAGCATGATAAAATACCCGTTACATGAAAGTCCATATCATAATTATGATATGAGTTATGGAAGCTAGTGACTTGTGGCGAGCATGTCTGGTGTGAATGGTGATGGTTTGGGTTTGTGTGGGCTTTGGTTGCCATCTCTTTGCAGTTTTGGGGATTTCAAGTCAAAAGAGACAGTCAAGCAAACATCCCTCTCCCTCTCCCCCCCTCCTCTTTACCCCACCAGAAAGTGAAATAACATACACATTGTCTCCTCAGATTCCTTTCTTTTCTATTTTTCAAATCTCCCTCCCTCTCTCTCTCTCTCTCTCTCTCTCTCTCTCTCTCTCTCTCAGAGTTCCTCATTCAGATGGTGGGTCAGGCTGTGTTTCTTTTGGCAGGATTCTCTTTGGCTACAAAAAAGGGATAGAAACAAAGAATTAATGAAATTAAATCCCTCCACACGTCAATAAAAGTGACAGAAGAGACCAGAATCACCACTATCTCTCTCTCTCTCTCTCTCTCTCTCTCTCTCTCTCTCTCTCTCTCTCTCTCTCTCTCCTCACTTTCTCTCTCTACCCACCAATCCATCTTTAAGGACTGCCCTTCGTCCCACTGATTGCTTTCTCATATGAAATGAGCATGGCAAGGAGCTTGCAGGACTCCTCCTCCAAGAGACACTTCCACTGGACAAACAAAGTTGGCAACGAAGAAGAAGATGAAGATGTTGATCATGTTGATCTGCCGAGCCTCAACTCCTCCTCCTCCTCCTCCTCCTCCTCGTCGAAAACAAAATCTGATGAGGAGGAGAAGAAACAAGAGCATGATCATCATCAAAAACAACAGCATGGTCCTGTGGTTCATCAACTTCCGAGGAGGAAACTGCAGGCGGCTGCGGTTTCCAGGATGAGGTCAGTCCTTAACGCTTTTGGTAAGAACCGATCCAGCCTACCACTCGGGCTTGGACCTCGAGTGGTAGGCACACTTTTCGGCTCCAGGCGTGGCCACGTACACTTTGCACTCCAGAGAGACCCAAGCTCACACCCGGCCTTCTTGATCGAGCTCGCCACCCCGATCAGCGGGTTGGTTAAAGAAATGGCATCCGGGCTCGTCAGAATTGCGTTGGAGTGTGACAAGGATCACAAAGACGATCATCAGAAAAAGAAAGATGAGAAAGCTCCGAGGTTGCTGGAAGAGCCAGTGTGGAGAACTTTTTGCAACGGTAAGAAATATGGTTTTGCTAGCAGAAGAGAATGTGGGGCCAAGGAGTGGAAGGTGTTGAAAGCTGTGGAGCCCATTTCAATGGGGGCTGGAGTGCTACCGCCGTCTGCGGTGGTGGACGGGAATGAAGCTGAAGCCGGGTCCGAATCCGACGGGGAACTAATGTACATGAGGGCTAAGTTTGAGAGAATTGTTGGGTCTAGAGACTCTGAGGCCTTCTACATGATGAACCCTGATAGCAATGGAGCTCCTGAGCTCAGTATCTACTTGCTCCGAGTCTAATAAACCCGAAAAGCTGCACGAATTCGCGTCGCCGCCGCTCGAATTTCCAGTATGTGTGCTTCAGTTTAGCTCTGATCAAACTGGAAATTGGAGGTGTAGCTAGTTCTCTCCAAGTAGTTTTTTCTTTTCTTTTTGGTATTAAATTTCTGTTTTATTTTGTGCTTTGGTATATTTGGAGAAGTGGGGTTTATTGTATTTTTCATATTTTGTTTTGTTTAGGCTTAGTTGGTGGAGGGAAATACATTAGAACATGATGGTAGCTGTGGGGGTATATGTTAATTTGTAATTTTTTGTTAATTTCTTCTCTTTTCTAGTACTGATTTTTTTTTTTTTTTTCATGCTAAACTGTTTTAATCTATTAATAACGTTATTGTAAGATCTGAAAATCCCTTGAAATTACTACATATTATCATTAAAAAGATTTAGCGATTGACATCTTTTTTTAATACTATCTTCTTTAATCACGTGTTTAAAGAAGCTAATTTTGTAGCAAATGCGTTGGCTTCCAAAAGTCATACCATACATTGGGATGCTTTGGCTCTTTGGGGTGCTCGAGGAGCTTTTCCTTGTAATAATGTTTACCTCTTTTAATCTATGAGGGTTATATTTGTACATAGATCACAAGAGAAACGAATGCACTGCCTTAACTTATATTTCCCAAATCAACCTCAAGTTAATCCTAAGCTTCATATCACTACTAAAAAAAATGTCTAAATTGAAATTCCCTTCAAGAGTGACAAGAACAAAAGGAGGCCAAACCTAAATAAAAGGAACCATAAATGTTTTTGGTAATTAAGAAAAGCCTATATGAGATTACAGACTGCTTAAACTCTAGTACTCATATCATAAGAAGGCTGCAAATAATGCATAACAACCAAAAGGAAATGATTAAAATTAATGATGCAGAGATGCAATTTTCAATTTTTTTTTTGTTTTGTTTATGTGGGGGCAATTTTTCTCTTTGTTTTGGAGTCCTTTTAGCACTTGAAGTGCTTCATGGAAGAAGCACTAGAAAAACACTTGTTTTAGAAATGCTTTTAAAATAACTGAAAGTTCAGTTATTTAAAGAAAATGGTTTAGGGTTCAAATAGCACTTGAAGTGCTTCTTAGGTGCTTATTCTAGGAGCACTTCAAATGTTTTTCAGGATTCACTTGTGTTTTTACTAATGATTGGTTCCAAATATATTTTCACCAAAAACGCTTTCATTCATCTTAAAACACTTCCAAACAAGATCATTAGTAAAAATGCTAGTAAATCCTGAAAAAAACACTTTGATGTGCTTCTTGGAAGTTAATGGAAGAGCACATAATTGGTGCTTCTTGCAGAAAGCACTTTAAGTGCTTTTGGAATCCAAAAACATTTTTTCTAAAAGCGCTTTCAGTTATTTTAAAAGCACATTCAAACGAGACTTGCTTAAGTAATGCTAGGTAGACCAATTTTTGTAGACCATATTTACAAATGATGTGATGTACCACAAATAGTAAATAAGCACATTAATTAACACTTAAATAATAATTCAATCATCAACAACCACATAATTTAATTTACTAAATGTAATTTAAAATTTAAATTGATCATCTTCCTAAAACTACTCGTATTTACTTTCCTGTTTAATTTCTTTTCCCCGTTTAGCTTGGATCCTTAAGCAGTAATGTTCTTTTCCATACACATTCTTCCAATAAGATTTAGGCATTTGGTCTAAAAGTATAGGCTAATTCCAATTTCCAATCATTGCTTTTGATATATAATTTTGTGTGACAAATGATCCCAAGATCAAATTTTTTTTACTAAAGTAATCATAGAAGTCATCAAAAGCAGAAATATATATTAAAAGGAAAAATCCAATTCCTGACAGCAGAATTTTGGCTTTTCTTATGATTGACTGCTTTTTTTTTTTTCCTTGTTTAATTTCTTTTTTTCCTGAATAAGTCTTGTTGACTGCTTTTCCATTTTGGCATTTGATTTCCTGCTGAAATTAAATCACCCTTTGTCATTCTCCTCAGTAATGTGGCTTTTTATGGTATGACATATTCAGTGTTTAAAAATTGATATAGATAAAAATATCAATATACAAATTTATAAAAATATATATATGAATATAATTATCAATATTTTAGTGGATAGAGTGTTTGGATTCCACCTATGCTTCTCGAGTTCGAAACTCTTCCTCCCCTAATTATTTTAATAGCTTCAAACCTCTCTCTCATCCTTAATAATAATAATAATAATAATAAAATAATATTAATATTGGTTGCCTCCGATAGTAATTATAAAAATTTGCAATGGAACGAGTATATCAATTCATTCAAAATTTAGTCGGAATTGGAGAAAAAATTCTCAAAATATTTCATAAGTTCGAAATCGGCAATGGGTCTCGACAAAAATTATGTAGTGAACCAGTAAATATTGTCAATGTTTATTAATTTTTCTATATCTCACCGATATAGGGTGAAGATTGCATTTCACTTTATTTTTTGGATATTTTGACGGAAATGTCAATAATTTTGTAAGTATTTTTAATATTGGACACATCAACTGTAGATTTAAATGAGTTACAACGTAATGAAAAGAAGACAAATTATCATTTGCGGTGCCTGTATCCAACAGATACTCAGAAAAAAACGAAACTCAAAAAGAACTTACATGAGTGTGTTGACGTGTATGACGTACGCGGATTTAAAAAGTTATGGTGGAAGGAACGGGGGCAAGTATGCCACCATGCCCTAGTTTCAAGGCTTTCAAAGATGTCCTTTTTCTTTCTTCTCTCTGCAACTGCAGTGAAAAGAGTGGGGAGAGAGCCCTTTTGGCTTTAAGCTTTTAAAATGGAATGTGTTCACAAATGGGATCAAAGTGGGAAATGATTCATGCACACCCTTCTCATTTGTTTAGCTATTGGATTGAAAATAAAAATCAAAAGAGAGATTAAGGCCCGAAATTAAGTAATGCAATGCAAACCATAAATAAAGTGTGCAGAAATCATTTTTCAGATCAAAATCTATCCCTTCGAAAGATTATTTTAACGCAGAAATCGAGGGTCGTTATCATCCAGTCATCGTTCTTCAAAGGATGCAAAAGTTGGTGGCTGTACCTAAAGTTGGCTAGGGTAGGTCACTGCTTTACACAATTATTGTCCCAAGAAATACAACCTCAGCTCTTTAGCACTCAGCTGCTGCAATAAAATAATAAATAAAACCCACAAAAAGAAACATACAAATTCACACATGGAGGCTGTCTTGAACGAGAGCAGTAATGTGGATACAAGGTCAGTGATTATGATTATATTTCAAGCAAATCACGTATTATCTTGTTAAAAATTTAAAACGAATGGTAGTGCAAAATTGGTTTGCGATACTTCCCACAAAGCATCACCACCATAGATAAGTTTTTTCTCGTTAAGTAGGAGATGTATATTGATAAGAGATGGTTATGTAGAAAGTAAATAAGAACCACTGGTTAGATGCATAATATGATATGAATTTCAAACCATGTATTTTTTTTCGAAAACTCTTATTAGCACTCTAAGAAAGTCGTCATGCGCTGCTCAAGCTTTCTTAATTAAAATGATGAAGTGATTATTGGCCTAATTAGTAAGTTGAAGGCCTTGAAGCAGCAAAAGCATAATATTTAAGGTGAAATGCAGTTTATGGTGGGGAACCAGCCAACCAGGGAAAAGGCTCTGAGCCCCGTGCTTGAAGAGCTGCTGAAATGCAGAAAACAACTTTTCCTTGCGCACCCATGTATCTTTTTCCTTAATTAGACAAGTGGATTGACTAATTATGCTTGAAAGTTGAAATTAATGGGGGTTAATTAATATAATTAAGCAGAATTAAGGGCCGGATCAATAGAAGTGGATTGGCTTTTTGTGTCAAGTGGCCTTATTTGGTATTTTCATCATTTCCTTCTAATCCATCAAATCAGTAGATCCGTTCTATTAAAATGTGATTAAACGGTTGAAGTTATTATAACTTTTAAGGTATGACCTTATTTGTAACCGTTAGATCAAATTTCAAGGGCACAGATCCACTGATTTGGTGGATAAGGAGGAAGGGATCCAGAGAGGATCCCTTTCGTTCATACACAATTTTTTTTTTTTTTGGGGGTGGGGGAACACTATTATATTGTGGCGGTCTTTCGGATCAAACATACAGTGACACACCATTGTGGTGATATTATAAAACCTTGAAGTAGCGCCATGCAAGAAAGTTGAAACATATGGACTTATTCTTTCATGTAAGCGTCTCCTAGCTCACTTGCAAAAACATGTGTTGATGGTATATTTTTCCACTCTAGGTAGTTTTCAAAGTAAAAATTTGATGTTTGTATGTGCACTATTGCTGATTTTTGTGTTCATCGTCTGTTCATTATAGATGAGGTTTGAAATACAAAGCAGCAAATTTGGTATTGCAAAAATACATTACTGCCCATAGCTTTTTTTTTTTTTTTTTTGTTCGATAAAAGGATAAATAGTTTTTTCACCTCTTTTAGTTGATATTTAGGATCCTATCGATATGTAGTTTAGATTCAAAGAGAAAATGGGAAATATTCTCTTAGCGTTTTGGTTTAAGTGCTTTTGTTGGGCCGCTTTGCTTCAAAAAATGGCAAGTTTAACACAAGTGAGGCCCAAATTACTAGTAATAGTAACAGGCCTGAGGCCTAGGAGTTTTGGGTTTGAGCCTGTTTGAACCAAGCATTCATAATTTGGGTGGACTCGTCCGAGTCGAGCGAGTACAGTTGCAGCTAGGGTTTAACAACTAACGCCCAAACCCTACTGAAAAATCTTCACAGCTACCATCCACCTCACCACCACGAGAGAGAAGGCTCGTCTTCTTCCTCTGCGCCTACTGAAACTGTAAAACCCTAATTCGTTAGAGAACCAGTCGCCATGACAGACCAAAACCTTCACGCGCCGCCGGAGGACGAGACGAAGAAGAAGAAGCGCAAGAGAAACAGAGCGAAGAAGCCGTCGGAATCGGCGGGTACGGAGCAACCGGAGCCCGAAAATACTAAGGGGGAACAGGCTAAGGGCGAGAGCGAGAAGAAAAGGAAGAAGGTGAAGAAATTGAAGGGAGAGGAACCGGAGGCTCAGAGCCCTGTGGAGGACAATGAGGAAGAAGAAGAGGAGGGGGAAGAAGCAATGGAGGAGGAGGAGGAGGAGGAGAAGAAAGTGAGAAGTGGCGGCGGAGGGACTGGGATTATGAGCACGGAGTCGTTTGCTTCGTTGAATTTGTCTGAGAACACTTACAAGGCCATTGAAGAAATGAAATTTCAGTATATGACTCAGGTAATTTTCCGTTTCGAATTCGATTTCGGTAACTTCTAGCTTAATTTTTATGGGATTTCTAGTCTCTAATGATTTAAGGATTTGGGATTTTATACTATGAGTTACTTGGTCGAAAAGTCTGTTTAGATTCCAAGCGAGAACTTAGTAACTTCAGAGAATTTTGGGGTTTGTACTTGATGGGAAATGTGTGTATTCGTTGAGATATCTAGTTGGAAAAGTTGATGATGATTTGGGATGAGTTGAGTTTACAGTTTATTACGAATGCAGATTCAAGCTAGAGCAATCCCACCGCTCTTGATCGGGAAAGATGTCCTCGGAGCTGCAAGGACAGGGTCTGGTAAAACTCTTGCTTTTCTAATACCAGCTATGGAGCTGCTATATAACACACATTTTGCTCCTCGTAACGGAATGGGTGTTGTTGTGATTTGCCCAACACGGGAACTTGCGATACAGGTGAAAACCCCTGCATATTGTTGTTTTTTTTTATTAGCATGTTAAATTTTTTTCTTATAGCATGGTGGAGCTTGCTCCAGTTCAAGAGATTTTTTTATGATGTCGCATTGTGAGATTTACATTTGAACGCCTTCATTCGTCCCTGACAATTTCTCCTTTCCAATTAATTCAGACCCATGCTGTGGCAAAGGACCTTCTAAAGTATCACTCTCAGACTCTTGGCTTGGTAATTGGAGGTTCAGCTAGAAGAGGGGAGGCAGAACGTATTGTAAAAGGAGTAAATTTATTGGTTGCAACCCCTGGTCGACTTCTTGACCATCTTCAGAATACCAAAGGATTCATATATAAGAACTTGAAGGTACCTCACATGCTCACATCTATTCTTCGGGAATATTGTTTTAGTTCTTCCTAAAGATTTTCGAGTGGTTCTTTTGTGAAATGATTCTGATTCTACAGTTGACATTCTGATTTGAAGAAAATTCTACCTACTGTTTCCGTGACTTCAGAATATTCTGCTGTCGTTGTTAGTCCTTTTACTGAAATATTGAATCGTATTTTTGGATCCTATTGCAGTTTGTTGTTATGTTAGAGAAAAGAATTAGCTTCTTGGTGTGGTTAAGCTGAATATCTTTGATTGAGATGTAGCGCATCATGACATCACAGAAATTTCACAATCTTTAATTTCATTGTTGTCCTGGACTTGCAGTGCCTCGTGATTGATGAAGCTGACAGGTTATTGGAAGCAAACTTTGAGGAGGAAATGAAACAGATTGTCAAGATTCTGCCAAAGGTAAACTTATTTAGTTTTCTACCTTCGTGTGACAAAGACTCAAGGCTGCAATCCTTAGATGTATCTAGCAACATAAGCTTCTGTTTTTTTTTTTTTTTTTTTTTTTTTTTTTTTAATAAGAGAAGCTTGAAGTTTGATTTGTTGAGTACTGATTTTATCAGAAATCGGCCTGGATACTTTAATTTTAGGGTTTAGGTGCCATTTCAACTTGAGTTTTACTTGGTAAAGTGCATTGGCTTATCGAATTGCTAATGGATGTGCAGGATAGGCAAACAGCTTTATTTTCAGCAACCCAAACTAAGAAGGTTAGTATCGTATCCGTATTGCACAGTAGCCAATATCTTGCTTTCTGCATTGTTTTAAAATGTCTTGGCTTAAACACAGTTCAATAGTTCTCTAACTTTTGTTTCTTTGAGTCTAACACATCTTTGTGCGCCCCATTTGTTACATGAGTGCTTTGTTCTGATAACACTTTTCCTGTTAAACCTATAGGTTGAAGATCTTGTTAAGTTGTCGTTTCGAAAAGATCAGAAACCTATCTACGTTGATGTGGACGAGGGGAGGTCAAAGGTAGGAATCCTGTTTGATTATGTTTTCCCTTTTCCTCATTTCATATTTGTTGAATGTGCATATCTGTTATGCATTTAAGTTGACTTTCTACCCATATTTTTTATTTCTTGTGATTTAGCCCTAATCAGTAGAATCTGACTAGATTGTGTGCACTGTAGGTCACCAATGAAGGGCTGGAACAAGGCTATTGTGTTGTGCCAAGTGCTAAGAGATTTCTACTCTTATATTCTTTCCTGATAAAGAATACAGTCTAAGAAAGTTATGGTCTTCTTCTCGTCTTGTAACTCAGTGAAATTTCACTCCGAACTTCTTAGATACGTTAATGTGGATTGCTTTGATATCCATGGAAAGCAAAAGCAGCAGAAGAGGACAACTACTTTCTTTGACTTTTGCAAAGCAGAGAAAGGAATCTTACTTTGTACTGATGTTGCTGCTCGTGGACTAGATATTCCTGCTGTGGTAAATTTCCTTCTCCTTTCTGTAGCATGGCCGAAACTCACGAAAATTATGTTTACTTTTATTTTTCCATCATTCAATTATGTTACGTACAACAATGAGTACGTTTATTCATTTCACCACAAAGGCAACATTCATCTTGATCTATCAGCCTCTTCCCAGACATCTCCCTCGTCCCCTCCTCTTTATCCTATTAGCAATATCTACATTATGCTCACGATAATCTTATGCTGCTTTCTTTCCTTTGCTTGTAGGACTGGATTTTGCAGTTTGATCCTCCAGATGAACCGACGGTATCTATTATTCCTTCTTGCTAACAGATTTCTAGTAGTTTTAGTATCTGGTGATTCTTCGTTGATGATGAATAACAGTGTATCATGGGGTATATGCTTGCAGGAATATATCCATAGGGTTGGTCGAACAGCTCGAGGGGAAGGTGCAAAAGGAAAGGCACTACTTTTCCTCATTCCTGAAGAGTTGCAATTCATTCGCTATTTGAAGGTATAATTTACTAAAATGTTTTACAGAAGGTTGTATCTAAAGTAAACAATATATAGATTTCGGTTAGTTTTTCAATCTGCGGTGTGGGGCTTTTTCTCCATTTCAATCCATCTTCGTTCTTGTTTCCAGGCTGCAAATGTCCCCGTTAAACCATACGATTTTAATGAAAAGAAGCTGAAGAATGTGCAGTCTAAACTGGTAATTTCTTGTTCAATTGTTTTTCTTTGTCATGCAATAACTAGGTCCAAGGAAATTTATGTATTGCTTCGACTGATGCAGGAGGAGATGGTTCAAAACAATTACTACCTGAATAAATCAGCAAAAGAGGCGTATACATCTTATCTATTAGCATATAATTCACACTCTATGAAGGACATCTTTAATGTACACCGGCTTGATCTGCAGGTACCCGTCTGTTTCTTGATATGAAGTTATTTATCGTTTCGTCTAAACCTTTACTGTGTAAAGATAAGAGATTTTCGTAGGGAAACACGGATTATCCGCCCTGATATCTCATTGTTTGTTGCAATTGGACAGGCGGTGGCAGCTTCGTTTTGCTTTTCTAATCCACCCAAGGTGCATTTGAACCTAGACAGCAACAAATCAAAGTTCAAGAAGAAGATGCGTAAAGAAGCAAGTCGAAATGGATTCAGTGAGAGCAATCCTTACGGCAATCGAAAAGGCGGAGATGATAGACAATTTGTAAGGCACTAGAGGAGCCTTGTGTGTGCAGCAATTCTGCTTCTTTCTTCTCTCGTGCGACAGTTTTGTTTATCTTCTACTGAGGCGTTGAAGCCGAAACTGAGACTGTAAAACGCAATTTTGATCGATGGCTTCATTGTGCTTCGTCTTCCCTAGTTATTACTGTGTAAATTAACATTGATGTTTTTAGTACATGGATTTGTCTTTGACACTGTTATGATAATATCAATTACAATTGCAATCCCGAAATCGTTTGGAAGTGCTTTTAAAATGACAGCAAGTGCTTTTACGGAAAAAGCTTTTGGCTTTCAAAGGTACTTAAAAGTGCTTCTAGGAAGTACATAATCGGTGCTACTTCTCCTGAAAACCCTTCAAGTGTTTTTTATAGAATTGGCCTGCACTTTTATCAAAGATTGGTTCAGTCATTTTAGAAATACTTACAAACGAGTCGTGACTCGTGAAAACGTTTAACCTTGGTCTTGAGTTGAAAAATTCCGAATAATAGATTTCTTAGTTTAGATAGTGTGGACTTACTGCCCTTTTAAGTTTTGAAGTTCAGTTCCAAGTCTTCGATTATGGCTTTTCTTTCTAACTCATTGCGTTTCAGATCTAAATTCTCTTCTTTTTTATAGTGCTACTGAATCATACGATGATGGCTTGAGAAGTTAAAAATATCTTTGTGAATCTTTACGACCCCAAAAGGATGGACTATCATGACGAAACCATCCCTTAAAAAAATAAAATGTGAGAACGATTCAGACATCCATCCCCATTTATACTAATCTATATAAAAATTATCACACTTAAAAAAAATTGAAATCCATAAATTAGTTCCAGTCTACACTCTTTAAATCTCAAAAGACCCAAATCAGACTAGGGGTACGTAAAAACACAGAACATAAAAACCATCACATATCACTGCAACTAGAAGAAAAAGACCACAACAAATGACACAACGCAGAACACAAGAGTTGCTGCGGAGGAGATGGCGGCAGTTGCAGCTGAACCATGCTTCGGCTGCGAAGGGTCCGTTGCGTTCTGATCAGCAGACTGAGGCGGGCTCGCCGGTTCCAAGACCTTGATGATCATCTTCTGCCCTCTCTCGCAGTGCCCGGCAACTCCGCTGATGAAGTAGAACAAACCGGGCCGGTCCAGTGTGAACGTAGTTGCACCATTGTTGGAGAAGAAGATGGGATGAGCAGAGTGGCATTTTTCGTACTCGTCCTTGGTCACCACCACCACCGAGTCCTTCGTGTAATTGAACGCTTAGTCCATGAAACAAAACATAGCAAAATGTTACTTACACACATAGGCAAGAAGTTTTTGATTTCGATAGAAGAAAACCCGACAATAGCTACTGACATTAGTTGCCCAAAATGTAGCGAATAAAAGACGCATCAGTGACTGATCTGTCTTTATCCGTTCCATTAGCCTCTGATACGACATGCATTTTACTTGTCTTATTCTGTGCAACTGATAACAGTGATTATCATTATTTTTTCTTGACGTGACTAAAGAGTGACTTACATAGAGTGTCGTCGACCTTGAACCGGTTTTTCGACGCCCATTCGTTGTACATTTGTTGGCTCTTCGATTTCGGGACCTCCCATCCACTCTTGCCTCCAACTTCAAATTTGGTACAAGATACAAAAGGGACATGGAAGGTAGAAAGAAGAAGAAAGAAGAGAAATACTTTGGAGGTTTCCATTTGGATTGTGCAGGGAGCTCACTCTTTGCCTATCAAGAACAAAACGAGCAGTATAATTTGATGGATGTGGGAGGAAGCACTGCAATTTATACTGTGCAGGCGGTAAAAAGAGGTGAGGCTGCGGTAAATGGATAATTAGATTTTTTTTACTGAGGGTGGGTAAAAAGTGAGGATTCTTTGGGAGTAAAGAGTGGAGGTGGATGTAGCCGTTTGAGAGGAAAACAAAACCCTTATCTCTCAATCTTTGACTTGGTACAAATGTTTTTCAAATGGCAGCTGAGGTGATGAGGTTGTTGAGTCAAACTAGCTTTCTTACCTCAGTTCAAATTTCCGGATATATGGAATATAGAGTATTTTAGAATATTATTCGAAAAAGAAGTACGGAAGTGACGTAAAATACGTAGTCTAGGGGATGACAAAGAGTCGTGTCGGATGACACATGAATACATCTCTCACCGTTCAAACCGGCAATGTTACTTAAAAAAGTTCAAAAGCAACAACAAAAAAAAGAATGGTTATAGAGATGAGAAGTCTAACTTTCAATTATTATTTGGTCTTCGTGTCACACCCAATCTTCTTATAATATGTAAAGACACTTAACATTTTCTTACAAGATAAGGTAAGTGACATTAGACATGTAAAACAAGAATATTGAGAAGAGAAGACATAATTTGCACTAGAAAGAAGGGGCGAAAATGAAGAGACGCAATGCGGGCTGAACCTAAGAAGTTGTAGGGTTCGAGGCATTGGGTGAGTTTGGATCACCTTCTCATATCCTTGATGCTGCATAGTTGTCGAGTTTAATAGTGTGATTTCGTAATTGAGTAGGACGTTAAAGTAATTAATTGCATGAAAAACAAGTCAGTTTAATGAACGATTCATTATCATTACGCAAGGTCAAACTAAACTGTGAAATAATCCATGAGTTACGTTTTGATCCCAAATTCAAATATCAACTTTCAGAGTCCGAAAATTAACAAATATATTGCACACTAGCCCTATTCATCAATTCGTATAATAATTGAAGGACTACTTCTCCAATTACGCCTTTTTCACCTTTTTTTTTTTTTTTAAATGAGACAACTGGTGGCAAGCCATGGTTACCTACCATTTTCGAGGCTGAAAAAACTCACAGAGGCATTTTAGCCTCCTCCTGGCCACAAGTTTGGCTTCCACACCAGCAGCGGATTTCAAACTCGAGACCTCCAATTTTTAGTTTTAAAGAAGCCTCGTAATCCGTCTTTTACTACTGGACCACCAGCTCATAGTTACCTTTTTCACTTCTTTTCGTCAGCTTTGCCTAGCCATCACGGTCCAAATCTTATTGGATTGGACCAAGTTCAACCGGCCCAACCCAAACTCTTGTCGAGACCCAAGGAGTCAAGTACCGCTAATTCACCCCCAGCGTCAAACGACGTCGTAACTCACGGCACTTTACGCTTGCTAGGTTCTGAGCTCTGAATGCATTTCATAGGTTCTTCTGGAAAAAAGAAAGAGAGAAGAAATAAAAGATGTCGAAAGATTCAGAGAAAAAGTTCCACTTGATCATGGACAAGCTATTTTTCGCTCCCAAATCTACGCCCAGCTCCGCTTCCAGGTTCGTTATATATATATATATGTGTGTATGTATGTATGTATGTATATCTATTATTATATTTATTTTCAATTGCGGCCTTAATTTTCTCGCTCGTTTTCCGTTTGTTTCCCGAGAAAATGCTGCAAATAGGATTTTTATACTTGTTAGAGTTCGATTCTGCTTATATACAAACATGATTATCAAGTGCTTGAATAAAATTACGATAAATCGATTTTCTTTTTATTCGGATTTTATGGAAATTTTGATGTAATTAGTGTGCCAAATCATGGAATTTCTTTGATGTCAGTCACTTTTTTTTTTGCTGAAGTTCGTCTGGCGTACAAACCTCGAGAGGCAAAAAGCGAGCAAATCCCTCATCCGCATTGGCACTGGTGGAACCGAAATCGAGAGGCGATAGAATGGAGGTGACCCGGCATTTTTCAGCTCCGGCTGTGGCGGCTCATGCTCCGCTGTGTAGGCCGTGGGACCGTGGGGATCTTATGAGGAGGGTAGCTACATTCAAGTCCATGACTTGGTTTGCCAAGCCTAAGGTTAGAATTATGTCTTCCACTATAGCATGTTTTGTAATGTTAGTGTTTACTTGTTAGCTTACGAAAGTAGCTCCGAATAGGTGAATAATGCGGTCTGGAAATGAGCTCCTGGTTCTGTCTTTTTTGTTTTGTTATGTTTCGTTTGCAGTGGAGCCGTTGTATAATACAAAGCTTTAATTTTTTTGGATGCACAAACAACAATTTCGCCAATTTTGAACAGGTGGTGAGTGCTTTAAATTGTGCCAGAAGAGGCTGGATCAATGTGGATGCAGATATATTAGCATGTGAATCATGCGGGGCACGCCTCTTCTTTTCTACTCCGTCGTCTTGGAATCAGCAGCAAGGCATGTTATGTTTCTCTTTATGTTAAATCTCCCGCCAATTGAACCCGTGCTGTAAAATTAAGTAGCCATACATTGTAATTATCTTATATTCAAAGTAAAGTTAACCTATTTCCTTGTTTTCCAGTTGAGAAGGCAGCTTTGGTGTTTAGTTTAAAGCTGGACAATGGGCATAAGATACTCTGTCCATGGATTGACAACGCATGTGATGAAACACTGGCAGAGTTTCCACCTACGCCACCTCCAGTTTTAGTTGATAAGTTTAGAGAACGCTGCTATGCCCTTTTAGAACTCTCAGTTCTCCTGGTGATTTCGTCTTCAGCCATTGAGTACATGAAGAGCCCTCAGCTCGAGCAATTTCTTGGACAGTCTTCAATGTTTTATGGCAATGGGTCTGGAGACATTTCTAGAACAGAACATTCGGACAACGAAGGCAGTGCAGATTCTGCCAAGTTATATTATCAGGTATGCACCTGTTTAGTTGCATGCCTTTTCATGTACACTATCATTTGAATTTATTTGTGCATCACTGTTTCATATCTTCGGACTCTAATTCTTCACACTAAGTCTGTCTTATCAGTTTCTAGCATTCTTGCTTTCTTCATGTAGCCCAATGACGTTTTAAAGATTTTTTTTTTTTTTTTGCAGGCACAAAAGCTCATAAGCTTATGTGGCTGGGAACCTCGTTTACTACCTTACGTTGTTGATTCTGGGAACAGACTGAATCATTCAGCTACCAACAGACAAAATCCGAGCATCAGTGTGCACTCTGCTAGTAATGATGAAAACAAAAACGCTAGTGCTTCTACTAATATACAGGCTGAACACAATTCTGTTGTTTTAGACTGCAAGCTTTGTGGAGCCAGTGTTGGATTATGGGCATTCTCTACCGTTCCACGGCCTGTGGAATGTTTCAGATTAGTTGGATATGGAGAAGTAAACTCTGAAAGTCATTCTGGAACCCATGATTCAAATGCTGAAAGTCACTGTGACAGTAGTATAGATGTTTTAAATTCTGGCGTAGATGGTGCAACATTGTCAAAGGACAGATTCTCAAATTTAAAATTGACAATTGCAGGGGGTCCTCCACCTACAAATCAGAACTTCAAAGCAACAATTTCGTTACCTGTTATTGGTCAAAATTTAAGGGCTCGGATTTCATATGATTCTGAATTGAGAGATTGTTTGTCTGTTCGCCAGGAAGGTATGCAATCTGATTCCCAGATGGAGAAAGAGGAAAGTCACTACCGAGAAAATGCAGAAAATGGTGGACTGGAGAATTCAGAAGTGAGTGGCCCTGGAACCCCTGATGCGAACGCCACACATTTAAATGGTGAAATGGACAAAAGTGATTCACCTGTGATGGTTTCTAGCAAGGGAGATTTGTTACATTCAGGAACCATTGTAGAGCACAGCGAAGAGCACGAGTCTCCTGGTGTTCCATCTAGCTTTGAAGCCAATGCAGATCTTAACAGCTCCAGAACTGATCCCGAATCCACCTCAAACCAGGAGGCTAGTGAAGACACAGTGCAGATTCCTGCAAACAGTGAACTTGTGGCAGGCAGTAGTGGTAAGCAATATTTATTGCTTTCTTGTTGAATGCAACCATTAAAGTAAACTACATAGCTTTTGCATCTGTTATATTCGGTCCAACTCTAACCTCAAGCTGATAATTGGTTTAAATTTTATAGTAAAAAATGACGTTAGCAGCCTGTATTTCTATGCAAACGCGCCATCTCTTACTCTATTGTCAGTGATAGAATTCCCCGATGATATCAAACTAGGTTTTAATAATTTGCTTTGTCTATTCTTCCAGGGAAGGACCTAAAGCATGTAGTGCCAGGTAGCCTGATGGAGTTTGATCCTATCAGGCAGCACAGATATTTCTGCCCTTGGATTGCATCAACAGGTAATGGGGCACCTGGATGGAAACAAACACTATCTGCTTTACAACGTCAGGAAGGCGGCTCTCCGTCATCTGCATCCATAATTAAGGTATTTCTGAAGCCCACTTCAACTGTCCTAGTGATATGCTAGGGTTCTATTCTATATGTTAATTGAGATGGGCAGCGCCCTTCTCAGCCTATGTTGTGGCCTGTCTGTGTTCTTACACGTATATTCGGGTTTGGTTTCTGAAGAGAATCATCATTTGATATTTGATCAATCATGCAGGTTGATGACCCTATCACTTCAATTAGAAATCTTTTCATGTCTCCATCTCCGAAAAGAATGAAGCCAACTGTTTTAACAACTCGAACTTCTGACCAATAGATGAGTGACTTTTTTGTTGCCAAGCAGGTCCAGGATTGGCCGATGTTAGAGAGGTTAGACTGTAACGTCTCCATTCGAAAGTCCCTCTCGTGGCATTAGTCCCACTCGAGAGCTTAAAAATGTTGTATTTACGAGATTAGAGTGTAAAATTGCGCTTGAGCGATAAACCGTAACGTTCTTACGATTTTGATAAACATAGCAATTGAAGTTTTGAGGGATATAAATTGATTTAAGACTGCTACAAGATTTTGATGTACTGATGTCCGGGCACTAGTCATTCACTCTCTCCCACTCTTCATTGAGACTATCGACTTCCAAATTCCTTCCTGTCTTCTTTGCGAGCTCGGCAGGCGCAACGAAAGATCCTACTCCGCCGTGCTGAACGTAGCTGGGCATAACATTAACGAACTCTTTCCTTCTATAGCTAGTGCCAGAAGCACCACTGGCAAGACTACCAAATCTAGCAGCTCCAACCGGGGCATCGTCTTCAAGTAGCGCGATTACTATCCGACCAACAGGTTCTCCGCCGATGGATATATCAAGAAATGCACACTCAGTCGGGATTCTATCAATGCAAGTAGCAGCAGCGTGAAGTTTCTGCTGCTTGTTCATTGCATCTATGTTCAATTTTCTTATCCGTAAATCATAGTAGCTCAGAATACCGCCTTGTAAAAAGAATGCAATGTAAACACACAAGCAACACTACAAAACGATGAACAAATTAACTTTCGATAATTCTGAGCACGTCAAAAAACCGAATTAAAAAGAGAGACAACTGTTGACACGGAGTTAGAAGCGTAACGGCTTTGTTTGGAACAAGAAAACTCAATCAGCATTGATCTTTCCTTCTCCTGAGTCTCAATCTCAACCACTCGATATGCAACAGAACGTTACTTACAAGGGAAAAAAATTGGACTTTCGTCGAACAAATCTTACAGCTTAAAAGTTGTAACAAAGCTTTTTAGTAGTAGCCAACACGTTTGAGCCCCCATTTTGGTGATTGCTCGGCACCATCACCTTTACCCAAAAACACAAGCCGACCTGTGAATTACGGGCAATAGAATACATCAACATGATGAGAAGCAAAAAATATAGATGTTTAGGTTCAGTGTACAATTTTAAATAGACAAGTACATACCGTTTCTGCGAACAGCAATCTCTCTAACTCGTCGAACAAGACCACTAACCGGATCAGTGAAGATTTTGGTCTCCAGATTACCTTCCAAATATAGAATCGAACTGCAACGTATCAAATTTCAATATGTTATTGCCAGTTGCAGAAACGATTATAACTCCAAATAACAAAACCAAAGTTCTGAACTCGAGGAAGGAGGCCATGATCGTGATAAGAAAGAAGCAGCGGAGTTAAGTTATGACAAATTACGCAAAACAGAAAGATACTTTGCAATGACAAACCAGAATGCTATTAAACTGCAACTTTAAAACCGAAGACAACGAATCTGTTATTTACTTTCCTCTCCCCTGTTGCCATCTTCCTTCAACCAACGAGACCCCGAACCAACCAAGCAACTTTCAGTTTTCATCACGTCCAGAATTAGGGCAACTCAAACAACTCTTCTTCCATCAATTTGATGCATCCCAAAAGACACTAATCCCCACTCCCTCTATACGTCTCTACCTGCTCACTACGTTACAAATTCGACTGATTCCAGCAAACCGTACTTTCTCCCTAACGTTCCATTTCGAATCAAATACCAAAAATTGCTCATAAGGCACTAGCAAATCTCCCTGATCACATAAAAGCTAGTCCAATAATCCATTTTACACACAATTGTACAAAAACGATTCATCCTTTTTTCGGAAAACACGATCTGCTTCGTAAACATGGTCATATATCATACACAATCAGAAAAAGTAACACAAATTGGAACATGATAACAAGGTGAAGAAAAATCCTCTCACCCAGGCACAACATTCTTCATGGCAATCATGCTAAGCCGGTCCGGATAAACACAAACCCGGTGCCACTGGACGTTGCAGCGGTTCGCATACTCCACCGGGTCCTCATTATCCAACGGCCGCCGGTTGTTTCGAATCCCGCCGGTTCCAACCGAAAACATGGTGACGGTGGTCCCGCTCCTCAGCTTCTTCTGCAGTGGACTCTGCCCCACCTGCCCAACCAGAATCGCCTGCACATGTACACCATTAGATGCACAGGATCAAAACCCTAAATCCGTAAATTCTGAGACTTTGAACTATCGGAACGGTGCGATTGAATCGAAATGTACCTTATAAATGCCGGCGTCGAGGCCGTTCTCGAGCGGGTTATCATACATGATGTTTCTCCGACTGGGTTCCTCGGACGGAGGCGGCTGTGGGGGGGTGTCGCCCGGGGCTGACTCTGCCTCCGAGTTGAGAGGCTTGGACTCGTCCGAGTCGGAGCTGTCGCTGCTGGAGGAGGAGGCGCCTGTAGTGGTGGTGGTGAAGCGCATGGAGAGTAAAGTCCGGGACTTTGCTTGCAGAGAGCGAGAAAGCGTCCTCGAGAGCGTGGCCATGGAGGAGGAAGCCATTTTTGTTGAGAGGAAAATGGTTTCGGTGGTGCAAATTTCAATTCCCTCTCTTGATTTTTGAGGGGTTTTAGTTGGGGCAAGCTTAAACCCTTTCGGGCTTTGGAGGCAGAAAGATTTTTTTGGGTTTTAGACTTAAGCCCGAGCCAATTTTTGAATTGGGCCTATTTTTGTTTGCCCAAGTAAATGGAAGAAGATAAATGGGCTAGGCCTAATTTGCGTGGACTCAGGTTATTTCACATATGTCGTTGAGTATATCTCTATGTGAGCATATCACTCATCACATGACACTTAACAAGTCGAAAGTTCTCGACAAGATGGATGCCACTTGCATATTTTGTCCAAGCTGGAGTTAAAAAATGTATTAGTCGTGAAGAAAACTAATCACTTGGAATCCTACCATCCTTGTGGATATTAAAAAATATAAGTTTTCTTCATGACTAATCTATTTTTTACCTTCCATACAAAATAAGCAAATCTATTTACCAGTTCAACACTCATTGAATCTAATGCTTATTCAATTCAAGTCAATTCTAGACACCAAACGAGGCTTTTAAATTGTTTAGAGAAATATGGGAAACTAAAAGCGTAAATATTTCGGTAGCTAATCATCCTTGCTCATATACCTAGCCTAAATTAGTATTGTGTATGAGCTATGGTATCTAAAATCATATCAATTTTGGTAGCTAATTCGGCTTAAGATACACATTAACTCAGAGAGGCAAAGTCATAAAGGGATCAAGATGGATATAGGCCTATTCTGATTTTAATTTTTTTTCATGCTAAAAAGTCAGTGTTATGCCTATGAGTTTCAAGGTTTTTCCTTAGGCTTAGGGCTTTAATCTGATATTTTCCTTTTATTTATTTCATTGAGTTTGATTTGAGGTTGGTGGCTCCTATGGAGTTCAGGCAATTCGTTACTTATGAATTTTGAGGAGGGTGGAGATCAGTGGAGGGAGAGAAAGAAGGAAAGAGGGGTGAGTTTTTTATTCAATTAGAGTCGTGATATCGGTTGATGTTGGCTTGGGGTTTGAATTTAAAAAAGAGGATGATGAGGATGACGCCATACTAACCCAAATGACAGTGTTCAATGAATCAAGACAACACATATTGATTTTCCTTAGAAGTGTTTTGGATTGAGACTTTTGTACTTCTTCTAGTCTAAAGTCTTAACTCCACCATTTTTAACTCATGAGTAAATTGTGGTTATAAAAAAAAAAATAAGAAAAATAAAAAAAATCTTCTTTGTTTTTGGTGGAAATCTAAAGGCGTTGATGCTACCATATGGAATAAGGACAGTATTGATCCTAATAATAATGATTTGTGTGAGGCTAATATAAAAATGAATCTTTCATATTAAAGAGTTGAATATAAATAGATGCAAAACACTGAACTGATTTGGCAGTTTGCTGATATAGATTCCATTTTTTTTGTTTTTAAACACATTTTTTGGGATGCATTTTCATCACGTCAAGTGGTGGTACTGCACGTCATTCTATTTATTATCGTTGAATAAGTTTAAATTTTAAGATTTATATTAATTTCTTGAAATTTAAAACTTATCTAACAATGATATATAAAATGATAAGCAAATGTGGTGAGAAAAATATTCCTACATTTCTGTCTGCTGAGTTGCAGTTAGGGTTATGAATATCATGCATATTTTAGGAAAGCAAGTGTCGCTGCCCTACCTTGTTCTTGGCGCACTTGGAACCACACAAAACAGAAGAAGCAGAACAATGAAACAGATGCAAAGACACAACGACAGAAGAGCAGCATCAACCGATGGCACGACCCCTTTTTCTCCGTCGTTTTGTGATTAAAAAAGCAATGTGACGAAGCCCCCATGAGTCATGACTTCATTTCCAATTTTATTTTTAATTTTTAACGTGAGTGCCGTATAAACCCTACAAAATGGTGCATGCATGAATAAAATATATATCGGCCAGAGGGAATACTATGCTAATTAGTAATTTTGTGTAGCTAAGCATCCATCAAGTGGGTTAACTAGAAAAACACTTTTTATTATTTTTTCCATAAAATTAATTCATATTATGTGGGATTAGGGTTCTTAATAGTCATATAATTATATATAAAATAATAGGTGAATTAGGTGGCAAATATTATATCCGAAAGAATATGTCAATTCTGTCTGATCCCTCGACATATTTGGTGGTTTGCTCGTATCCGAGTTTCTGTTTTTTAATCATTAATTCAAATTTTGAAATACTGCTGGAAAAGTGGATCATAGTTTTGACATGGTTAAGGTGGGGAAGAAAGTTTAAATTTAAATTGATAAATTGTTTTAATTTTTAAGTTTTGAAAATAAGATGCCAATTTTCTGGGTTTCAGATCCAAAAAGCACTAACTGGCACGATCTAGTTTCAAAGTTCTAAACAAATCTAGGTTAGTACCCAAAATCTCATCAAATCATGAAAAAATAATCAGTAAAATAGTTAAGGGGAATATGTAAGGTGACTTGAAGTAAAATACTATTTTTAAACTGGGAAAAGCCAATAAAAAAAAAAGAGAATTTTAACGAAACACTATTGGTGTTGTTCACTTCTAACGAAAAATTATATTTTTACCTTTCACTGGTACTATTAGTTTTCCTTAAAAAACTGGGATATAGAATATTTAATTTGCCATCTATTTCTATAGAGATTAATATTTCTTTTACTCATGGAAGTATAAGCTTCCCGTATATTGCAAAAAAAAGATTAGAATTGAAAGTCACACTATTACGCAATGTTACAAATTTGACTGCACGAAACTTACACCGATAATTTGTAAGCATTACATTGGACCACATTTGTACCATTTGACTCATTAAACTATCATATTTTTAAATATAAATAGTTGATTATGTTAAATTTTATCTAAATAGCATGAAATGTCATCATATTGATGCACATAATATTTGAATTTAATAAACGACAGTATTAACGGGTTAAATTATTAAATGTTAAAAAGTAAAAGAAAATCGGTAGAGATCAAATCAACGTCACAGTGCATAAACATTATCATTTATCTCGTCATCTTATAATTCATGCACGAACAATTATCGCTTGCCTTGTCATCTTATAGTTCATGCACAAAAAATTAACTGAGTAAAAGTTGTCAATACCCTGATATAGTAATATTATCCATCAAATTAAATATTGTGGTTAAGGAAGAAAGATGATTGACGCGTCTATCAAACTCACTTAAAAGAAACCGAGAAAGCAAGTCATGAATAATCCGTGTGTTTCGAGAGTATTGGCATCCATTTCTACAGAGAGAGAGAGAGAGAGAGGGAGAGAGAGAGAGGGAGAGAGAGAGAGGAGCAGGTGGGTGGCGGTAATGGATGTGAGGAGAATAGCAGTAGTAGTTGAAGACGTGGAAGCAGCAAGAACTGCTCTGAGATGGGCGCTCCACAACCTGGTTAGGTTTGGAGACTGGATAACTCTGGTCCATGTGTTTCCAGCCCCAAGATCCAGAAACAGGAACAAATCCAGGCTTCTCCGTTTGAAAGGCTTCCAGTTGACCCTCTCCTTCAAAGAAATCTGCAGCACCTTCCCCAACGTACGTATTTTATGTGGGTTATAACATGAGTGATCAACGTACTGAAAACTGATCATTTCAGGAATTCGGATTTGAAATACGATCGTTTTGACCAATTTGTGTATGTATGTGTGTGAGTTAAATGTTGCTGATTATGTATATGTATGTTCAAATTACCAGTGTATATGATGATGATTTACAGACCAAGGTTGAAATGATTGTCACAGAAGGTGATCAAGATGGGAAGAAGATTGCAGCTTTGGTCAGAGAGATTGGGGCTTCCACTCTTGTTCTTGGACTCCATGATCACAGCTTTCTCTACAGGTAAGTCTGCTGAGAATATTGGTTTAATTAGAACATTTGTTTTTAATCTGTATAATTATGTGTTTGATTTTAATCATTGTGATGATCACGATGGGATTAAGTTTTTGATGGATATAATTCGAAGCATTCAATTTTGGAATTGAGATGAGATTAGATAAGGTGAGCTTCAAAGGAAGGTGAGAGACTTCAGAAGGGTAGCTCTTACGATTGTTGAGACTAACGTGGAAGTGATCAAAATATAAAAACGTCTCATGCTTTTGAGAATTATCTTACCTCCAATTGCCGTACACAAAATTTTCTCCATAGGAGAGGAAGGTCCTGCATAAGAGAAGAGTCAACTGTCAATGTCCAATGGGTTGTTTCGAAAGGGATCCCTTTTTACCAAATTCTCATCATCAATCAATTCAATCATTGAAATCTGATTTAACGGTTAAAACTATTATAACTTTAAAAGTGAATTTCTATTTTTAACTGTTTGATCAAATTTTAAAAATCCAAATTAGTTGATAAAGAAGATTTGGTGGAAGGGATCCGGAGGAATCCCCTTCACCAATTATTCATTGCCTCATCAACTCTTTTCCTGTACGCCTTATATAATATGTAGCGCGTGTGATAGAGCTAGCAGGGTCGGAGTGGGATGGGAATGGGGCCATATATGGTTCAATATTTAAGTCATGTTTGACCAATCTATGTTGCTATGCATGTGGCATGCCGGTGGAATAAAAGGACCCGGCTTTTCTGCTCTCATAATTCTCATACATTCACATTATTTTCTATTTTATATGGTCACGGTTAAGCCACATTAATATTTAATATTGATTTTTTTTTTATAGAGATAATAAGACAAAAAGAAATAGTGATATAAAATATTGCCGTGGCTTAACCGTGACTTCACAAATAGAAGAAGATAGAAGTGTATGCCAGGTCCGAAATAAAATAGCTAGCCTTGTGTTAGACCCTATATACAGGAGGATGTCGCTCTTTCTGTGCATGGTCGGACGAGTAACGTGTTTTTCCTAAAGAATTTCTTCTACTATAGGGGTAGATCGGAAAAAGATTTTTGGTGCAATAAGTTGTTTATTCCTTTTTGCATATTTTTCTTCTCATGTCATCCGTGAAGAGTGATATAAAAAGAGATATATACACAAAAGAATTTAATTTTTCTTCGTAGATTGCCTTTTTGGCTTTTGGACATAATATGTGGCTTATGAAGAATCATTGGATTTTTAGTTTAGGAAGACCATACCCACTTGTCTATCTTTTGGCAGATAGCATATATTAGCCAAAAGGTATTCGTTAATTTTCCCTTCAAACTTGTAAGGAGCTGCAAATTTTTTATTTTTAATTTTAATTTTAGTTGATTACTCACTAAATTTTTGTAATTGACCATTTACCCCATTTTTAACTTAATTTTAGCCAATTACCCCCAATCTTCCTCTTAACATGATGTTGTTTACATAATGCCAAGCTTTAAATGTTAATTAATGAGAGAATACTAATTCTTTTATAACTTCATGTGCTGTGTTGGTGGTGATCCCTTGTAATTGAATTCAACAACTCCTTAAGGAATGTGAATAATTTTATCTTAGGAAAGTTAACAAAAAATTTAAAAAAACTTCAGTTTAATTAAAAAAAAATGATAAATAAATGTGCAGTGAATAGTACTAGAGAAAGGAAAAAATATGATTTTTCGTTAAAAGTGAACAGTGCCGAAAATGTGTGTTTCGTTAGAACTCCCTTTTATCTTTAGATAGTTTTCAATCATTTTATATTTACAATTACAGATGTGGTCCTTAATTTCCCCATCAGAATTTTTGGATGTATGTCTTGTTTTATTTGTTCTTCACAAATGATTTTTTTCTTATTAAAGCTGTCAATTTTCATGCACAATATATATAATAAACATGTTGACTTGGATAATAAATATGGTGTGGTAGTGATTAATTTTTAATTGGGTATTACTTGTGTGTGTGTATAGGTTGGCAATGTCCCACAGCAGCACTAGTATTGCAAACAACTTGAACTGCAAAGTCCTGGCCATCAAGCAACCACCGCCTTCCTCATCACCATTAAGTAGCAAGAGGAGGACCAGCAGTACTAACACCAATGGAGCTGTCACACAAGCCCTCCTCGACAGTTCAACCAACATGGACTTTTCACAGATCGACATTGGTGGACTACGGTAAGAATATTTGAAATCTAAATTTTTACGTGCTTCAGACACACACACAAAGCGAACAAGGCTCTCTGTTTTGCAAGGATTGGGGAGGAACGTCTATCCTACGCAACCTAATTCTCACTTTGCAAAGAGATTGTTTTCATGACTTGAATTCGTGACATTTTGGTCACAAGGGAGCAACCTTTCTGTTGCGCCAATGTTCGTATACGCACATACATACAATGTGGTTTATTGCATCTTTTTAAAATGCAGACATTATATGTTGTTGGTGTGGGGTCAAGATTATGATATTGTTGATACTTTAACTTTACAGTTGTCGTTTCACAGTGTAGTTTACGGCATTGTAGAATGACTAAGGTAACAATTAATGGATATTTGTTTTGTACATGAATATATTGCAGTGTCCCCGATGTTCCTCCACCAAAAGTTCCATACAGAATCTGCCCAAACCCTTATGCGATCATCTGGAAATCAAGGAAGTCAAGGAGAAGGAGAAATACATAGTTCATCAAAGAGAGCTCAAATATGTACACATTTCTTTTCAAATGCACAGCAGCAGGTTCAGCTGATTGAGCCATTTTGGGCACGACACGATTGGGCATGGCATGGCATTGTTTTTTTTCTGTTGACTTCGAATATATGAGAGAGACTTACATGGACCGTTCGTGATGCTATCGTGACATGCTGAGAAGCGCATGTAAATTCTTCCCCACAGACCGACCCACACACAAATTTATAAACGAATTAGGTTTAAGTGGAGCTGACACGATCATGATGAAGTAATTTTTTTCTGGTTTTCAATAAAATCTAATTAACGTCAATTTTCTTGTAATTTCAAAGATTGTTTATACCCTTTTCATTTTTGTTGCATGAGCAACCTGCAGCAGTACTAATTGAATCCATGCGAAAACATATATTTTAAGAAGGGAGTTAAACTTTTATTTTTAGACAAGCGATAACAGATAGAGAAAATTAAACTCACGATCTCGAATAGAAATGTGTATGCTTTTAACTAATTAAACTACAAGTCTTTACTCAAAAATAAAAAAAATAAAAAAATGAAGCACTTCAAGTACTTCTGGAGTCCAAAAACATTCTTTAAGGATAATGCTAGGGAGACTAAAATTTTAATCCAAATTTGCAAACCAAATGATATGTCACTAATAGGAAATAAACACGTCAATATACGCTTAAATAATAATCCAATCATCAACATCCATATTATTTGGTTTAAAAAATTTGTCTCCCTAACATTACTTTTTTTTTTTTTTTAAACTTTTTTAATCATTTTAAAAGTATTTCCAAACAAATTTTTAAGAATATGCAAATTACCCTATATAAACTGAAAAACTTAAGAGTAACCAAATATAAGTCTAACTTCGACCTCCCTCCTATTAAATTAGACTAGAACATCGTTCAAATAAATATAATAAAAAAACATTTAAATTCCTTTACAAAGAAATATAAAAAAAAGAGAAAAGTGAACGTTAAATTTGAAAATGGGCTGGTGGAGCCAGAAACGGAAGCCATGCATAAAAGCTTGGGCCTGGCCGCCCGGGCTCAACAATTCACTCACAACTTAGCCGCCAGCAGCCCACCGCAACCAAGCAGCCGAGCCCTCAACAGCCTCTCTCTCTCTCTCTCTCTCTCTCTCTCTCTCTCTCTCTCTCCCGAGTCTCTGAGCGAGTGAGCGTTTACTTTTGTAAGCCGTCGAAGATTTTGAGATTGTAGATCTACGACTCAGGCGTCGCTCGCGGCTCTGCAACTCCACAATCTTCGCTGTCTCTCTCTCCTCGCTCGGCTGCGATCCGGCTCACTCTTGGCGCCGATCCGCTTCCAACTTCCGTCTCCCTCCATTTTTTCCCCTCTCTCCTCAGTTCTTTCACTCTCATCATCTCTGTGATTCAAACTGCTGACTGACTCGCTCTCCTGACTCAGAGCTAGGTGAGTGAGTGAGTGAGTGAGTGACCGAGTCACTGAGTGAAGGACTGTTTGGGCAGCTGCCCTAATTCCAAAAGCCCTAAACCTTGTCGATTTTTTGAATTTCAGGTTTGCTGGGCAGCTGCAGACTGCAAAAGCAGCATATCAAATGGACTGGGCTGCAAACACCGGTTTCAAAACCTTCAAAGGTACTTTCCCAAATCGCCAATTTTCCATTTTTGTTGCTAAAATTCTCTCTTTCTGTATGTTGGATTGAGTTTCTGAGCTGAATTTCAAAAAGTTCAAATAAAATTCATATATTTTGTTGTCGGATTGCAATGCGATGGGCTCATGAGCTGATTGCTGAAAGTTTTTACTTGCTGGATGATGGAAGTTTACGTTTTTCTTTCCGCTTTCGATTCGAGATTAAAAGGGGTTTTGATTTGTTTCTTGGTGGATTAGATGTGGAACCCAAATCAATGATGGACATGGCGATGATTCCAATCGTTGATCCGGTGGATATCGGTTTGGGCTCCTCGGAACAGGGGAATTCTACTCCTTCAACCAAACCCAGAAAGAAGACTATGACGTCGGTTTATCTCAAGTTTTTCGAGACAGCTTCTGACGGAAAAAGTCGCCGGTGCAAGTTTTGTGGACAAAGCTATTCCATTGCAACTGCCACTGGTAATTTCTTTGTGCCCACAATGTAGTTGCTTCTGTTCTTGTTATTGTTTTTATCATTATTCATATCGATCTGCTGTTTTATGGTTATCTGATTTGTAAGAAGCTCAAGGTCTTCGGAATTATCGTTTGTGAATGGCTTATGCTTCGGTTGAGGTTTTGGTTGTTTTAATTCATTTTTCCTTCTTGTTGAAGGTAATCTGGGAAGGCACCTAAGTAATCGCCATCCCGGTTATGATAAGTCTGGCGATGTTGTCACCAGTCCTGCACCACAATCCGCCATTGTAGCCCGGAAACATCAACCGCAATCTCAATCAAAAGCATCCCAATTGGATTACAACCATATAAACTGGTTGCTTGTTAAATGGCTCGTCTTAGCTTCTTTGCCTCCGGCAACATTGGAAGAGAAGTGGGTGGCAAACTCGTACAAGTTTTTGAATCCATCCGTACAACTATGGTCAAGCGAGGAGTACAAAAGTACATTTTACGAAGTTTTCCAGAGTATGCAGGAAGTAGTAAGACTTTCACTCGAACATGTTTCTTCGAAGGTCTCTATCACACTTGAATTCTGGACTTCCTATGAGGAAATTAGTTACATGAGTGTCACATGCCATTGGATCGACGAGAGTTGGTCTTTCCAGAAGATGATGCTCGATATCTGTCACATACCTTACCCGTGTGGTGGTGCCGAGATTTATCACTCCCTGGTGAAGGTTCTTAGGTCGTACAATATTGAGAACAGAGTCCTGTCATGCACCTATGATAACAGTCAGAGTGCAATGCATGCCTACCTGGATGGTCAGAAAGTTGGGCCCTTCTGTTATATCCCCTGTTCTGCTCATATTTTGAACTTGATTATAAACGATGGATTGAGAACCACAAAGCCGGTGATCGCAAAGATCCGAGAGTTTGCAATGGGGCTAAACGCGTCCAAGGAGATGGCAGATGATTTTGCTGAATTCACAGCAGCTTACCAGGAACTTTGTTGGAAAATGCCGCTTGATACTTCAATGCGGTGGAGTGGAAATTATCAGATGCTAGATATTGTATGCAAGGTATGATATGAGGAAATTACCTGATCTTGGACAAAATCTTTGCTCTCTCTCTCTCTTTCTCTCTCTTCACTTTGATTGCGGATTTAAGTAACCGCGATGTGTATTTTTTATGCAGGCTTCGAAGTCCATGGATGCTGTTATCAGGAAGTATGAGACACTAGGCAGTAGGATGCTGCTGAGCTCTGTAGAGAAGAATGCAGTCAGTCATGTGCACCGATATCTCGAACCATTCTACAAAACCACAAACAACATGTGCACAGACAAGCTTCCCACTGTCGGGCTGGTTCTCTTCTTTATGGATCACATTTCCGAGACAATCGCTGCTTGCAGAGACTCTCACCTTTACCCAGAATCGTTAAAGAATGCCGCTAAAGAAATGGCTGAAAAGGTGAGAGGTTACAATAGCCAGGTCTGCAACATAATCATATACATGACAGCGATTCTTGATCCTCGAATCAAAGGAGAGCTATTTCCCGAAAGCCTCAACTCGGATAATTTTCTTGACGAAGCAAGAACTCATTTCATCAGAAACTACTCGACCACGCATTTCCCATCCATAGCTGGTGGATACAGTGCTCAAGAAATGGAAGAGGGATGCAATGTATCGTTTGCAGAGGAAATCGCACGAAAGAAACGAAGGGCAAACATGAGCAGCGCAACGGATGAGCTCACTCAATACCTGTCAGAGCCTCCAGCTCCACTAGCAACAGATGTTCTGGAGTGGTGGAAAGTCAATAGTATGCGTTATCCACGGCTTTCTCTGATGGCTCGGGATTTCTTAGCTGTGCAGGCAGTTGCAGTGGCGCCGGAAGAACTGTTTTGCGGCAAAGGTGACGAAATTTACAAGCAACGATTCTGTATGCCGCACGGCAGCACACAAACTCTCCTTTGTATAAGATCATGGCTTCAGAGTGGGATGAAAATGAAGTACAAATCAACTGAAATAGATTTTGAGCGGTTGATGGAATTGGCAACAAGTGCTGCTGCTGCTGATAATAGTGCTCATGGCTCTGAGAAGAAACCGAAACATTGATGGGAACACATGGCAACGTGTGATTGACTTGAAATGCCGTCAACTTGGCATGCCAAACCACTTAAAAAGGGGAAAATTGGCATCTTTAGGCATTTGAAATGCTTTGTTGCATGTTAGGCTAAAATTTCGTGTACAGTTTAAAACTATTGTAAATACTAATGTAATCTGATGATTTGAAAGAGAAAATTTGTTTTAATTCTACTTATTGGAACAATTTTGCCCTCTATTTTTCCCCCATTACTGGTACAAACTGCAATCAAAGTGATTCGGCCTGTAAACCAAAGGATACATATCCACTCCAAAACTCATTATCCGAAGCCCAAGGATCACGAAATTTAAACTACTGAAATTGAATCCGACGGTTCTCATTAACTCATTCTGCGGGCCTACTTTGCACAAATCAAGAGCTCCGGTTTCTTTCACACAAATCAAAGGTCCGGATTTCTTGGTCATGTGTTAGCACACAAAGCAATGGCCCATGGTGCAACAAGCACCAGTTCGACTTGGTGGGGGGTGGCGATTTAGTGGCAGTGGACGGCAAAGTTGCGAGTCAAGAGATAGATAAATAGACAAATCTCATTGTCAAGAGATAGATAAATAGACAAATCTCATTGCACTGTCCGGGAACGTTTGTAGTGACTGAGGGGTTCAAAGACCAAGAAGTGGGTTATTCTCCAAACAATAAGATCCAGAGAGTATCCAAATTCGTAAATCAATAGCATATCCAACAACTCTTTGAGGAAAAGTGTAAAGTGCTTTAGGTTAGAAAAACATAGGCAAAAGTGCTTCCCAGAAAAGTATTTCGAAACGAAGGCTAGTTTTGTTTCACATTACATTTGCAATATGGGCACCTTGGGAAAAAAAAAAACGCCATGGGAAGTAAATAACATATGCAATTAACAATACACAAGGAAATTTCCAATAATTAAATTATCCCAAGAAATTCAGGTTAATAAAAAACATATTCCAAAAACATTTATTCCGAAAATTTGGAGACAAATGAAGAACTACATGATACGAGAAACCAAAACCTCCACAACTGTCAGGAGAGGCTACAAAATGCACTCTTCACTGAGTTGTATTTACCAACAAAATTTTATACCCTCCTGTTACCATCATCTCTTTAACAATTGCTTACCATTAACGTTTCGCTTCGCAGGTTCTCCCAATCAAATGTTAAAAAAACCGAGTTTATTCGCTCACGCCTGCAAGACAATCCTGCCGCAGAACATGTGAATACTTTGTTCATCCACCGTCGTCAGTCTACTTCGGAGTTCCCTATCACCACAAGTGCTCTCTCCCATATTCGCGGACAATGACCGGCACGCTTGTGGGTGGAATCTACAGTAAAACCAAAAAAATCAACATGATGAAGACTAATTATGAAGAAAACTCTTTACGCATTCGTAACAAGAAAAGAAAGGAGAGATTACAAAGGAACAATGACTGAGTTTCTTGTTTCACGGTTTCAAGTAGGAGCATAAAAATGACTTACCATGCCGTAATCTGTGACGATCATAGATATATAATCTGATGGAGTAGCATCGTACCTGTTACACATCCAGCAGAATATTAAGAATCATTCCAACTAATGTTGTTTTGTATATCGAACCATATGAAAACTTACATTAAATTCAGAAGCTGTAGATTTTCCTTATTCGCCCAATTATCTAGATAGTTTACATCCGTTCTTCCAGGAACCTTCGCAATAGCATGTGGATCACCTGCAAGGATTACAAAAACGGTACTTAAATCACTTTCGGTGGGAAAAAAAAGGGGGTTATGCAAATAAAAGAAACAAAATCATCACACAAGCTCAGAGCCACATACAACATACCTAGTTCGTTAGAACAAATTGAATCAAGCTGTACCCTTTCATGAAATTTATAAGCTTCACAGCAGATCAAAACTGGAACACAAAACGCATGAGCAACCATGGCAACACATGCAGTTCCTACTCTCGAATATACAGTTCCATTGGCTAATACCGAGGCGGCACCCAAAAATACTCGTGTTACTTCATGCATGATATAAGACACGGCATTTAGATGAGTATATGTACAACTCAGGCCCTTCGCGACCAGCCTATGAAGTAATGCTTGGCCTTCAAGCTTTGGACGTGAGTCTACTACTACAACACGAAACTTTTTCCCGAGATCATGGGCATATAGCAGAATCATCTCAACAACACATGATGATCCATAAGTGAGAAGAACATCTCCATCCCTAACCTTTGTAGAAGCGTGCCTAACTATCACCTTATCAGCAAGTATTATCTTCTCATTTATAAAGCGGTCAATTTCTGAACAAAGTGTAGATTTTGCTTCAGACTCAGAAAGACTCAAGGGCAATTTAGCAATACGACTCTTAAGAAACCTAACTGCATTTCCCATGCTAATTGAAAGTGGTCTGCATTGAGTGAAAAATGAGACATAACTACTGACTTTTGCAGTTAAATCTCTGACAAGAACTTTCTCTGGTGGTGTGGAGTAGTCTCTAATGGCTTCTTGAAATGCTTGAAGCATTGCAATACAACGAGCATTACCACCCGATATTTCTCCAGCTAAATACTTCAGTCCAACCTGAAATGTCCATTATTACATCTATGTTATTAGCCACGCAGGTGATAATTTATAATGATACGTTCATCCACTCCTTTTATTTTTCACACTCAGATAAATTTTATCAATCTACAAGAGAAGACGAAAAATAAACAAAATATAGATATCCCTAGACACAAATGGGCAAAAGGTTGGCAACAGAACAACGTACTGATGAAATTAGCAATTTGAAACAAGATATGCATAAACCGCAGCTTGTGTGCTAAGGGTGAACTGTATACATACATTTTGCTTGCTTACACAGGAGAAAAAGTTCCAGAAAAAGTACATCTTGTTGCTACTAAATTACCAATCAAATGTTCACCACTAGAAAGAAAAGATCTTAACCCTCGATATGAGAGAAATACTGGAACTCCTTTAAAAAAAGTGTGTGCACAAAATGCCCTGAAAAAAGTGTGCGCAAAGGCAACATGCAAATGAAAAAAACATATAATGAAAGCTTTTGAGACACGCGTTATTTCTTAACAAAAATTCAACACCAAATTTATTCAAAGAGCGTGTGTGAGCTTACTTATGTCGACCTTATTTCAAAACAGTTTCATCTAATCACAAATTGAATATTCACGGTTTGAATTACTAATTTGCTTTTTTGCAATAAAAGCCTGACCACATAACCACAAACGATGAACCAACATAACTAGTTTCCTAAAACAAATACCTTATAAATGGCAGGATGCATTGGATCAAGTTGGAAAATTTTTGATTCAAGATCAGGAAGCTGAGTTCCACGCTCATACTGAGGCAAATGCCGGAACAATTCAACTCTGTTTTTAGCTTCGATTTGATTGACCACTGCACGCCTTTTTGCCTTCTCCACTCGGCTTTTATCATCAAACTGCATACGTGGAGGAGGAACATCTTTCTTCCTTTCCTTATCTGGTGGTCGATCACCCCCTTTTTTATCAGAAGCAGCCACCGAAGCTGCAACTTGAGGAGTATCCTTCTTTTGCTTTGTAGACTTAGCAGTCTTACCAGGAGTGCCACCCCCGATTACAGCAGCAGGTTTTTTCCCCTCACCTATATATTTACAAGGTCGGGGAACCATAAGAACAGTTAATATATCGATAATATTAAGGGGAGCTCCAAATACACAAAGAATCCAAAGCAAAAGAAAAAGATGAGCATTTCGTACTAAATACATTATTAGAATCGATTTAACTTAATTTTCGTTACACTGTAAAACTTATAAATGATGTTTACATGTCTGTATGCAATTAACAATAAATTCAGCCGCTCCTTTGGGAGATCGCAATTGAAATTGAGCAATCATTAACACGTCAAACTGAGTTCGAGCGACAATACAAATTATGGCATATCTAAATTCACAAAAATGCTTTGAAAGTGACTCGATTTTTCGACACACATTTATCGTGCAATAGCAGCTACACTGCAAAATACTGCGGGATTAAAAAGGATCACTTTCAAACCTTTAGCAGCGGCTTTTGCAGCGCGTTGAGCCTCTTGCAAGGCACGTCTTTCGGCTTTTGTGGTCTTGGGTTTCAAAGGTTCTGCATTTGCCGGAAGTTCTTTCTGCGATTCCGCAACTGCCTCTCCACTCTTTTCTGCAAGGAATTGCAAGCCTTAACTAATTAGCAAACAAACCAAAACATCACCAAATAATTACACAAAGCACTCATACAAATATCCAAAATTTCAATTTGGCCCAATGCAATAACTTGAAATTCAATTTGTCAATGCAATTAAATTACCAGGAACTTCAACAGGCGTCTTCGATGCGGCGGATTCGAATCCTCCGCCGGGCAAGCTCGAAGCCATCTTTCCGGAGCCACTCCGCTGACACCAAAGGGCCGAGGACTCATCGGAGAATTCGAGTCCATCCCCAACGCGGCTCGAAGGCGAGGCTGACACCGGCGAGGTCCCTAACAACGACTCCGACGGATTATAGCTGCCCACTGGCACGTCGACGGATTCCTTGCGCCGCAACGCCGAATCCGGCACCGGCACGGCAGCCGTACGGATCGCGACGGTGTCGGAAAGATGACGCGACGGGGGGATCATGACGGGATAGAGGGAGTTGCTGGCCGGAGATTCGGATAGAGAAGGGGCTGGGATTACCGGGCCGGACTGGGTCCGACCGGGTGGGGCTTCGGCGTTGGGGGTGAAGAACCCGACTTGGCGGACCTTGGGGTCGATCACGGTGCGGGAGACGCGACGCGCGTCCATTGAGCCGCGTGAGAGTCAGTCACTAGGGTACGGATTTTGGCGGTGGAGGGAGGAGTTGTCTGTTAACTTGCTACTGGTGAAGGCGAAGGAGGATTGGACGCCGTGGAGGTTTTTTAAACGGGAGATACGGTGTCGTATTGGTCAAGTTTTAAAGCCTTGGGCTTTCTGCCGACTGAGTTCCTAAATTATTACTCGTGCAAAAATTCGGTCCGTAAATTATTTTTTGAACCTAGTTTTTATTGTGGTGATAAGTAATAGACTAAATCAACAGTTTATCCTAAAATAAAAGAGAATGCTATTCCTAATTTCCTTGAGAATAATTTTTTTTGGTCTTTTAACTTCTTTTTTTTTAATACAAGTAATACATTATTCTAATTTATATTAGTGGTGGGTGGAAAGTGAAAAGTTAAAACTTTAAACTTTAAAATTGAGTTGAAAATAAAACGTTAATTTTTTTTGTGATTCCTGCGGTGAGATTTTGCTTTCAAAACGAGATACAATTATTTAATAGTTAACATCCAACTTTATGATTATATGCAAAAATCTTGACCAAATAGGATAAATGCATTTTTAGGTATATCTACAATGTGGTGCCCTTTAATTATTTATTTGTGGACCACCAAAGCTAATGATCCTTTTTTAGTCCCTCATCACTTCCCGATCCATCGAAGAGTAGCAAAATATCCTACTTGTCTTCTACTATTTTTGATCCGATCTGACCTAATCTTCTGCTACCTGCTAAACACCATGGGACCAACAAATTAATTGGTGTAAAGATGGAGAGTTGATTGGTGTTGACATAAGGGAAGAACTTGTGTTGAAACTCGACGAGTTGTGATGGTATTCTAACTCGATAACAGAGTTAAAATGCATGAGTCAACAATGGTTACTTGAGTTAGTAAGGATGGTTATCTTGGCTAGATCAAAGTTTAGATTCGAGTTCCGCTGCCGGCAATTCCTCTTGATGGGCAATCTATAAAAACCAAAAAATGGGCAAAGACCCCCTATATAAGTCCTCAAAGAATCTTATAGTATGTCACGACCCTTAGATGGGATAGTCTCCCCTTACCCTGGCTAGAGATGGGATAGTCTCCCCTTACCCTAGCCAGAGATGGGATACCTCCCCTCCTAAACTTTTTAGTGAATAGAAAAAGTTAAAATACATGACAATAAAACAATTCATGATTGACTATATATGCTAGAGTAACGTCTCAGTGTAGACAAGATTCTCTCGTTAAGATGTACGAATACCAGTCTTCTTCACATTCTTTCTATTTGTCCCCATCTCGACCAAGAAAAAAGGAAGAAAAAATCTCAAGTAATGACAATATATTCTTCCAAAGTGCATTCAAACCCATTGTCTGGGATAAGATGAACCACTTCATGCTATAATCTTCACATATTTTGACGGTGAAATTATACAAAGAATTGCTGAGTTTCTGAGGACATGCCCAAGTTAGGTTATGAGATTTTGCCTACATGATGATCCAGGTGAGCTTTCTGGCTGCAGCAACGGTTGCAGCATTTGCAGTCTCTCACAAAAACTGCAACTCCACCAGGAAGCAATTGTGCACTGCCATCGATCCTCCAGGTACTATAAAAAGAGAAATTTGCAGTTTCACATTGTTTGAACTTCTATACTGTTCTAGTAGTTTATCGGAAATACACTGAAAAGAACGACGGTACTTACGCAAGAGTCGTGATCTAAAAGCGACCTTTAGCTTGGACTTTTAGATTAGACATTGAACACTAGCCAGTCGTGACCAAGTAAATGGTCATTTTTGGCCCACCAAGCGAAAGTAGTGGGTAATTACTTGGTCACGACTGGCTACAGCTAATGTTTTTGATGTAGGAAGTCTCAAAATTAGGACATTCCGCCGCATGGATTTCTCAAGAAGCGAAGTCATAGTCACGTAAATTTTTAGTGATTGGTGTTGGTTTCTTGTACTGCAGAGAAAGATGATTCAAACTTCCACCAGCAGGAGAGAGAAGGAGAGATGGAAGATGAGGAGGCGGCTGAAATTATTACCAGACGTGAACAATTGAAGAGTCACAAGAGTGTGAAAGATATAGAGCTGTTGCATAATCTAGTGAGAGAATTGCAGCAGAGGAATCTGCGAATTGAAAGAAAATTGATGGAATTATGTGTTCTAAAAGAAGAGCAATCATACGTGACTCAGTTGCAAAGGAATCTAGATGAAAAGGCGGTGGAGCTTGACATGCTCAACGCCACCATTGCTTCTTTGCAGGCTGAGAGGAAGGTTCTTATGGAAGATGTGAAGCAGTGTGGTTTGGTGAAGAAGCAGCTAGACGCGGCGAAGAAAATGATAGCTGAAATGCAAAGGAGGATGGAATATTCTGGCAAGAATGACGTGAAGGGGAGGTTGTTGGTGGTGGGAGAACAAGTTTCTAGGTTTCCCAAGGATGAAATGTGTATTAGAGATGAACTAGTTGAGAAGAAGCTAAAAGGTGTGAAAAATGTTGAGTTGGAAGTATTGAAGATGAAGAGAGGAACAAAGAGCTTGAGCTAGAAAAGAGGGAATTGGCAGTCAAATTGGTTTGTGCACAAACCAGAATCACTACTTTGTCTAGCATGAATGAGGTACATATAATTCTTTACTTATTTAGTTTACTGCTCGTCTGATAGTTGTTAACGTTAGTGAGAACACTAAAGTAATCAAATTACAAAAGAAGAAAAAAACCCGACCACCATAACTATTGCGTTAAGGGTTTTCCTTCTTTCTTCAAAATGATAATGTATTTTTAAGATTTTGTAGGTGACTACTTTTGTAGAAAGCATTAATGCTTATAATCGTTTTTGCTAGTATTTTCATTGGAAAAATGTTGAAACTTCTGATTGAATTTCAAAATAAATAATTGTCAAAACCATAACAGTTGCACGTGGATTTTTTTTTTCTTCTGAATGATGGTCCACCTTTAGGTTCAGTTTGGGACTACTTATGTAGGAATAATTTATGCTCATGAGCATTTTACTAGAGTGCTTCTCTCTAAGTGCTTCTTCAAAAATAGAGCTTTTACCATTCATAATTACTTTTAAGTTTTTCCGTCAATGTTGTTAAAAGCGCATTTAGTTCTTAAAAAAGACGTTTTAACTTTTCCATCTAGTGTTTCATGTAATTTCAAAAATTAATCCAATTATCAATGAGACAAAGAGTTGCTCTGTTTTTGTTGCAGAGTGAAACCATTGCCAAGGCTGAAGAAGAAGTAAGCAAGTTGAAACACACCAATGAGGACCTCTCGAGACAAGTCGAAAAACTGCAGAAAAACAGATTTGACATGGTGGAACAACTTGTGTACCAGCGGTGGCTCTACGCTTGCTTGCGATTCGAAACCCTAATCCACAGCAGCCCATCACCGGACACTTCAAAACATGATCTCAGCCCTTCATCTCACACTTCATCTGCTAGTTTGAGCGATGAAATAACCGAGGCAACCACCATTGGCAGCTCTTCAAGCAGCCAAAGTAATAAGATTAAGAAGTCTGGTTTCATGCAGAATATTAAGACGTGGGGAGGAAGAAGAAGAAGAAGAAGAAGCAAGGAGGAGGAGGAGGAGGACATGGATTATTCAAATGCCCTTCCAAGCAAGAGAGACCTTGTTCGGAGGTTTTCGACGTCGATGGTTCCGGTGAAGGCTTCCATGTTAAGAAACGGAGGTGAGAGCAGCACAACCAGCTCTTCTTCTCCATCCTCCAGGGCTCCAAGTTTATCTAGGGTTAGAAGGGTGTCGTTCAGCGATTCAGTCAAATCAACGTCTCGTGATTATTCAACTCCAAAGTCAGCTGATCGGACGTCTGGAACAATTGCGATGGATTCAACCCAAAATTACAACAATGTTCATGAATTGGAGGGAGAAATGCATGAACTCGAAGCATCACCAGAAGTGACAATTTCTGCAAGTCCTGAATTCATGAAAAGTGACAGCAATATTGCTTATCAAGTAAACAACAGTACTGAAATTTCAGACACCGATGCTTTGCGTTGTGTGGTTGTTGCTGAGGAGAAAGAGGTGGACAGCAGTATTGTAGGTTTTGTTGCTGCATTATTTTTCTTCCTCTTTATATTAGTTGTGACTCGCATGTTATAATTTAGTCAGCTGGGGAAGCCTAGGGTTAGCCGAGGGTAGGGTAACATGTGAGGATTTGGATAGAACGCGTATGTTGCGGTAATGGATTCGATAAATGAGGACTTTGTAGTGGGATACTGAGTGAGGATTAAGATAGATTTAAACTTCAATATTTGATTTCCGTAAAAAATGAGGAGCGCTCCAATGAGGAAAGTATATTAACAAGATTGCCATTTGCCACTATTGTTGTTTATATTTTTTGTAGCAGAGTTACGGTAATGATTCATCACCACCCTAAAATATCACTTTCCCTTTTGTTTTGTAATTGAATCAATTCTCTGTCTAAACTTTCATTTCATGTCTCATGTTAGCTTACCTTGGCTAGTTCTTTTGTTTATGCGACGTTCATTCTCCATTTTTCCTACCCTAGAACTTCTCAATTTTCAACTTTTTGTACCTACTTTTTTTTTCTCACTTTTGTACCTAAACATTGATTGTTTTACTCCTTTCATACATTGTTTAGTCTATCAGTTAGGTCATTTGTTAACTGATAACGTGCTATGGTTTTGGCCCATCAAAAAGTTTGTTGTATTGCCCAAAGTTTATTCTGTCTCAATTTCGAGGACAGGCTACATCATCTATTAATAAAAGACATAACAGATAGACTATGGATATATATATATAAGGATGGTGTTATTCACACACCATTTTTTACTGAGATATACTAAGAGAATCTTCAAAGTGGGACTCTATCCTACCTCACAGTTTAACGTTAATTCTCGTGCCAACACTATAAAACATTGAACAAAAATATGAGGTGGCAGAGAGTCTCACTTTTGAAAGAGTCTCCTTAGCATTTGTGTTTTTTGACCTCCCACTCACCCCATCTTAATTTATGTCATTTAATCTTTTTTAATTCATTAGATCTTACGACCAAAATTTGAGAAAAGTATGTGGAAAGTAAAAAAAAAAGTGCGTGGATAGCATCATCAATATATATATATATATATATATTTGGATATGTAAAATAAATAAAAAATTAATATGAAAAATTGAAAATTTGTGAAATTTCATGATAGGAAGATGAGAACTACTACTAAATAGATAATAAAAGGGTTAAGCATCTCGAACAACTTTCTAAATCAAATTTATAAATCATATAATATGTCACTAACATGAAATAAACACATTAATTAACACTTATATAATGTTTCAATCATCAACATCATATAATTTACAAAATTTAATCTAAAAAGTTAATCCCTCTGACATTATCTTTTTCATATGAACACGCATGTCCTAACAAGGGACGTTTTGACAATTAAGCTTTATTGTTGGCATGCAATTGAGTAGAGATTTACAGTAATAATTCAGTTCACCAGATGCCATCTGGCCTTCTAATATTCACCAAAAAGATTTGGATCAACTAGATTTCATCAGCCATCCAACTGTCGCAAATCTATATGATTACACAGATGGGAGAGAGAGAGAGAGAGTGAAATTAGTATGATTAAAATTACAGTTTACCTTCACCACACAGAATCCTCCACGGATTGCTATGAGTTTTATAACCATAGAAAAGGTCAAGTAATCTCCCACACCACAATCATCTACTGCTCACAAAAACTTGTTCCACCCTCCACGTGTTCCCATGCATGTCTCCATGCTCAAATCTTCCCCACACCTGTCCCTCTCCACCCCCTCTTAACATCTCCCGCATCTCTGTCTCACTCCACGTCCCCCTCCCCCTCCCCTCTCTCTCTCTCTCTCTCTCTCTCAACGCATCCATGGCCGACCGTCACCAAAACCCAGCACAAACCCAGCAGCAGCAAAGAGCTCCGAGACACAGCAACCATAACACCCCGACAAATGCCTCCACATTCCTACGTAAACTCCAAGGCAGTGCACCAAACTCTGCCCAGCTCGTCGGCTTCCTCACCCTCCTCGTCTCCGGCGCCATTCTCCTCCTCCTCACCGGCCTCACCGTCACCGCCACCGTCCTCGGCGTAATCTTCTTCACCCCTCTCATCATCGTCTCCAGTCCCATATGGGTCCCCCTCGGCATCGTCCTCGTCCTCACTGCTGGCTTCTTCGTGTCCATGTGCGGGTTCGGAGCCGCGGCCGTGGCCGGTTTGTCTTGGATGTACAGGTACTTCAAGGGGATGCACCCGCCCGGTTCGGACCGGGTCGACTACGCAAGGAGCCGGATTTACGATACTGCGAGCCACGTCAAGGATTATGCTAGAGAGTATGGCGGATATTTACACAGTAAGGTCAAGGATGCAGCTCCCGGTGCTTAAACCTACGATCAAGAGCTATAGGATTTGTTTTCTTTCTTCACCGGTCCGGTTTATTGTTGAATGTTGAACCTGCAGATATGATGGACCCTTTTTTTCTCTCCTTTATTACGTTTTTTTTTTTTTTTTTTTGGTCAATCTTTTATTACGTTTCATGTCTCTGATATTTGGTTTGTTTCTTTTTAATTTTTAGTTTAATTTTTTTTTTCTTTTTGGGGTCAGATTTAAAGGCTTTATTTAGTGCATGGTTTGGGCTTTTGCTCTTTATATATGTTGTTATGGTTTTGGTAAGTGGAAGGAATCTACTTTTGTGCATGGACCCAAAAAATGTTTGACCTTTCTTACCTTTTTTTCCTTTGGTTAAATGGAATTCATGAATTATTCTACTTGAATTGGAAAAATGGAGCAATAATATAGTTTTGCTAATACGACTACAATCCATCGATGGTTGGTACTTACTAGACATGCCCTTAACATTAATTGATTGTAAAATAAAACAACAACGCGCATGTTTGAAAATATTTTTAAAATGACTAAAAATAGAGAAAATGTTTTTGGTGCAAAACACTTGAAGTGGAAGAACTACCTAGTTATGTGCTTTTTTCTCAAAAAGCACTTCAAGTGCCTTTTTAAGCATTTTTATTAAAATTTGATTTAAAAACTTCAAAAGCGTTTTTAATTATTTTTCAAACGTAGCATTGGCATTGAAGTCATACTTAGAAAAGTCATCAAAGAAATTTTTCATAATTATTATTGAGGACTTATTTTTTCTTCAACTAAGCTATAGATTAGTTCTAAGTTAATTTCTTATTGGACCCAAAACTTACTCTGAGTTGACCTGACCTACGAATCAAACCCAAGGATTTGGTCATTCATTGATGGATACTTCCTTGCTTCCTATCTTTTCTCATCAAATACCAAAAATGAAAGTCAAAGAGAAAACCAATTAGCAGCATGTCGCGGGTGGTACGAAGCATTCTATTTGAACAATCTTAGAACTTGATTTTTTTATTCTCTACTACAAATAATGTGCGTGTAATTCAACATTCAACGAAAACATTGTTTTCTTTGCAGATGGCGGTAGACCAAAGGCATATTTTACATAAATAATTGAAGAATATTCATCATTTTTGAAAGTTTTCATCAAATTATCGAGGTTCACTTCAAATTATAAGATTGTAAGAATCATGTATGTGACTCTGATTTATATACAACCTTTGGGTAACTGATGGAGCCAGTCTTTTGTGCGTGTGTGTGTGTGTTTCCGAGTACTTTGTTAGGCTAAGACTTAGGTAATAGGTCATTTGTGCACGTCTCTCTCTTCGTTTGACATTTAACGTGAAAAGAGATATCACGCGGGGAAGAAATAGGAATGTAATGTGCCACATGCGAATTGTGAAGAGAAATGGGAGAGAATTGGTCATGTAACTTTGCATGCACGCGAAAAAGGAGAGAGGAGTATGCACAAAAAGGTTAAGGATATAGGCTCTCAATGAGAGAGGAGTATGCACAAAAAAGGTTAAGGGTATAGGCTCTCAATTTGTAGGTAACTTTGGTATCTATGGATTTATTTGTTCTTTCAAAGGGTGGGATTTGCATATGTTGTTTGTGTTTAGGTTTTGGTAAAGGATTCTTGAATGGTTGTAACGCTCACTACCCGATTTATTATTATTAGATGAGTTTAAACTTATGAAATTTGTGTATATCTATTATACATATCTCGAAATTTAAACTCATCTAATGTTAATAATAGGATGATGAACATCACCATTACTTAAGGACAATGAGCAAAAATATTCCAAATATGTTCCCCTTGACATCACATTACAGATGACCTTTTGAACTCTTCTAATGAATGATTATTTGTTGAATAAAATAGTGTAGAATTAGTGTGCACAATTAATTGAAAAAATAAATAAAGAAAATGTGACATCAGTAATTCCTACTTCCCATCATCTCTAAGAAGATAATATATTCTGAGATAGATTGAGATGCTACCCGTACACTACTAGTGGATCAAATCGAGGCCTAGCTCGAATGTTAGTGCTTCATAGTGGATCACAATTTATTCCAAGTGCAGTTTTTGACGATAATGTGTTACAGTGTTAGTAATTTGTTGGCTTAGAGTTTAGACCACACATTCATTTAGTAATAAAGCGAATAAAGCAGGCAGGTTGGCTAGTGGTCTATAGTTGACTGCGCTGTGCATCCGAATTCGAATTTCTCTACTTACAAATTAGTTTCAAATAGATAATAAACGAATGAAAAATAAAGTACATCGAAATAATAATTTGAAAAGATGGCAATCTCGATCATATGTTTAGGGAAAAAACTTAAGTTACACTACCCGACCAACTAATTAGTCCTAGTTTCAATCAAATTAATGATGTCGCATCATTATTCTTTGTCATATAAACTTTTAGTGAAAAACATATCGATAGTTTTGAAAACAAGATCGTTGATGCATATTGATATCGATAATATAGCCAATATATCGGCAATCAATAACATGTTGATATATTTGTAACACTGAATGAGTGAGCCAGCCAACTACTCAAGGTTGTGAATGATATAGATGTTCAACATAGATAAAATCTAAAACCCACGAGTCCATTTTTTTCCACTAAATTTAAAAATCATCCACAAATTAAAGGGGTTGCAAAATCCAAATGCGTTCCATATGTACACACGTCCCCGCCCTATTACACTGGAGAAGTTCAACTACCTACTTCCGACGCCAACGACGAGGACGTCAACTGTGGCCCCTAAAACTCATACATGCGCCCACCATACCAATAAGAACTCACATGCGTGATACGTCACGACACAACAGTTGCAATACCACGAAAACGAAGCGAAAAAAAAAAAACAGAGACAAATTAACGCTGGAAAACATGTCGTCTTCTCCGACGAAACACTTGAAATTTAACGGCGCCGTCAGTTTGTCTTACCCCTCTCGAGGTACCCCGGCATCGGACTTGCACGTGGGGACCTTATGGGAGCTCCGTTAAGTTTCTTCCCGTCAATATCGTAATAAATTACGCCCGAGAAAGCCAACGGCTCGCACTTATCCCCCATCAGGATCGACCTCTGCCATACCCCACCGTCCCCCCACTCCTCCTCCTCCTCCGCGTGGAGGCGGCCCCTACTGTCCGATTCCTCGCCGATCTTTTTCCGGTGCAGGAACGTGATGGCCTTGTTGCTTATGGTCGACATTAGCTGCTTCGGCTTCCTCATCATCGGTGACTTATTCGGCGCGACTTTTGACTGGTGGTTGTTTTTTATCATGTTGGAGTTGGCGGCCTTCAGTTTTCCCGAGAGGCGGCGGGCGATGGCGAGGAATGCCGAGACGGAGGCCACCATACGGGCTTTGGACTTCAAGCGCATCGAGGAGTCCGAGTCAGAATATTCGCTTGTATGCAGATGACGAGCCATATTAGAGATTTTTAGCGTATCCGAAATACTGCCGGAAGGAAAAGTTGGCGGGGAGAAGGTGTTTGGGGGTACGGGGAGTTTTGGTGGTGGGTGCAATTTGAGAGAGGTGTTATGTGTGGTGGTGGGTATAAATAGGGTGAAGAATGAGTTTAGGTGACCGGTTATTGCCGGTAGATGTTATTTTTTTCATTTTTTTTGGGTGGAATAGTTGGGGGTGAACCGGTGGCTTTCGGGTTGACTTGAACTAGGGTTAGAAGTTGGTATGTAAAACAATGAGAGCCATGATAGGGTGTTGTGTGACACATTGATATTTTGATGTACTTCTTGGATAAGCACAAAAATTTCCATATTCTCATAAAATAGTGCATTGTATTTGGACTTATGATTCTTTTCATATTTGTTGCATGAATCCCTCTGTTATTTCCCCTTTTTCCTTTTGTTCCTTCCTTAATTTGGATTGGAAATGAAGGAAATAGAATTTCAATCTTTGATCGGTTTGAAATTTGATTGGAGTAGGATTATTTTTCCCTTCAAATTTCTTTTTCTCATTACTTAGTACTACGGTCTAATGATATTACTCTTCACTTGTAAGTGAGAGGTCTTAAGTTTGATTCTCTCGAAAATGTGAATTTAAACCACATTATTGCTATATGTTGGGAGGCTTAACCCGATTTCCTGTTCCGTTTAATGTAGATAATATCGTTTGTTAAACAAAAAAAAAAAAAATATTTTCCCTTGCCTCATCTCTTATTTGAACGGTCACAAGAACAAGGAATGTGGAAGGGAGAGAATCATATTCCAATTTATTTTCTAAATAATGAAAGAAAATTAACAACTTTTCTTTTGTAAATGTACTGTAAGAATAACGAATCCTAAATAGCCAAATAAAATTGCAGAATTTCTTTAATAATATTTGTCGGGCATTCTTATTTAATGAATTACTTTTTGATCGAACAATATGCTAGAGAGATCACAATTGTAAGCCAATTTATAACCATAATATGATCTTCTTCTTTTTTTTTTTTTCTTTTTTTTTTAATTTTTTATTCTCATAACCTACTTGTTTTTCTTTCCTTTTATCTCATTACACAATTGTGTCTTACTTTAGTGCTTAAAGTTTTTGTTTATTTATAAAGCATGTGTTTGGTATATAAAATTGATATATACGCGTGTGAAATATGTTTTAGGCACCTGAGAGCCACAGTAAATATGCTATGTAATAGTAGTGAGTCATGGTAATTAAAATCAAATTATCAAAATTGTGCATGCTTATGTAATATAATAAAAAGTGACGGTCAGGATTGGATGTCTAATTACTAACTGTAACTTGTAGATGGGGTTCCACTTTAAGGGTCGTGATGGTCAGCGTGATGTTAGAGAGTGATGTTAGAGAGTGTGTCAAGAACACCACTCGATACATTAAGCATAATAATATAATTAGTGAAGTTTCTAATCAATTGTATTATAACATTTGATGTACGATGTTGTGTTCTCGGTATATTAAAAGTTTTCTCGTTAGAGAGATCATCTATATAAACTATATTTAATAGAATAAATGATATGGCGGTTGAGTTGAATTTCTTCTTTAATGATTTTAAAAAAAATCAACTTTCAACCGCCACATATGGTATAATTAAAAAGATATTTCTCAAGGATTTTCCTTAAAGATATCATTCGAAGATACATACATACATATATCCTGCCAAGTCTTACCTTGTAACTGATGGCAGAAAAGAATGGACATGAAACATGTAGTTTTAAAGTAGCGGTGTTTCACATCAATTACGTGAAGTTATGTAAAAAATAAAATAAAATTAAATATGTAATATCGTATTATTTGATTTACAATACTAGAATAACGTTTCTGAGGATGTAGGTAAGTCCGTCTCTTGATTGTGGTTTTGGGGCACATAATATTACATTACATTAGTGCCAAAGCCGGTCTTAGGTTGGACCGAGTATTGCAACTTGGAAATGTGTTTGCGTAATCTCATTCACTTAGGAATTTAGGAATTAGGGCTCGCCCCAGATTGCGACTTGGTCTTTCCATGCGTTTATAGACTTTTTGGTTTCTGCTATAATCGTCTGATTTGAAACCATTATCTCTCAACCTGCAGTAGATCACTATATATATAGTTAGGCATGAAGCATGCATTAATCGTTGTTCTGGTTTGGCCACCACAAAAGTTATCTCCCTATATTTCTACCATCCAATTCCTCAAGTCTGAAACTAATCATTGCCCATTTCTGCGTACCCACAGTTTTCCTTTTGGAAACCCTAATATGAAATCAAGCATGAATACTTTGAAGGGGCACGTAGTGGTAGGCTACCTTCCATCTCTAACATTTAAGTGATGACTAATTAGCAACTTATAGAATGGTTTATCAGGCCAGTTAAGACTTATAAGCCGTAATATATATTAGGTCCATTGGGTGCAACATACACACACACACACACACACACATACATGGGCGCAGATCCGTAGTATCACTTTTTTACACAACTTTTGACACACGTTTTTGTAGGAACTACTCTATAATGTATTTTAACGATTGAACCGTCTATCTTTTAGAACATCATTCATAGATCATTCTTGCAAAACAGTTAGATAAATCCAAAACCATTAGATATTCATTTGTAGTAAAGAAAATGAACGAATACAGTTATACAAAAAAAACCCTATACTCTAATTAATCTAACGGTCATATGGTTTTAGATTTTGGTGATTTTTTGGTAGACATGATCTTTGAGCGAAGATCTAAAAGATATATGGTTTGGATCATTGAAATACATTATAAAATGACCCCTAAAAATGTGTGTAAAAAAAATGATGACACGGTTCCGTCTCCATATATATTAAGGTTTACTTGATAATCATTCTGCTTCAAGTTTTAATTTTTAGTTTTTTTGTTATAAATAGAGGAGAAATACCTTGGAAGGGATGTAAAAGAAACGTACAGGAAATGATATACAAAATGAAATTAAAACCTAAAAACTATTTTAAGTTGTTTTCTCCTGTAAACAAGGGGTTGAAATCTAATAACTAAAAACAAAATAGTAATCAAAAGGTATATTCAGTTTCAGCATATGAAAATACCATACATATTTCATGCCAACATATTAGCCAACTTAGTATCTGAGATATACAAAGAACAAATTAAGCCACCCTTTCGAGTCAGATTAGTCCAAAAGGCAACTTCCAAATTTGTGATAATCTTTTTTAAACATACAGAACGAATACGACATATATCATCCCTCTTTCTCATAAGCGTTTACTGGATATGTACCTGTCATACACAAGTCATTATAATGGCCACTAAGATAATTAAGTGGCGTAATCACTTGGCGATGGCCGCAACGTTGACATGAAAGGAGAAGAATTAAATCAGAGTAGTTTAAACACTTGGATTGGTGAATATCTAGTCATTAAATTATAAGCTTTTCGGTGATCACGTTATTTATTTTTTAATATAACTTAAATTTATGTCACAAGGTTGTAGATACCGGTTGAGCAAAGTTCCTCACCAATATACCTACATTTAGAATTTTATTGTGGCGGTTTCTCAAACGAATCATGCATTACGTACATGACAATGCATATTTAGCTTACTCATTTAGCTCAGAATAAAATTGCAAGAAAGTTCTTTCTCAAAATTTATACATGTATGACCAACATGTTTCATAGGTTGTAAACAACATAATGAGTAGTTTTTGCTTTTTAAAAAGGGAATCAACTTCTGGTTTTGCCACCATAGTTCACATTTTCGAGGCCAAAAAGGCTCACAGAGATATTTCAGTCTCCCCATATCCCATTGTGTGATTCACAGAGGCACTTCATTGGTTGTAAACAGCATAATGAGCAATGACCTACCTTAATTATGTCAGATTGATTGTTGGGCTCTTCTGTCGTCTACCCTGGCTTATGTCATAAGAAATACTAGTTTAGGTACTTCAAGCCCAATAGCTACAAACTGGGCCTATATTTAACAGCTCCCGCCCAATTATTAGTTTTTCAAGCCCAATGTTATACAAGAAAATCCCATGTAAAACCAATTAATCACACAATTCCAAATAATGAGAATACATTCCACTTAGAGAAACCTAAGCTCTTTTGATGTGGCCTCGTCTGCTAACAATGGTTTGTTGTGATCTCGTTTGAAGGTGATGACATTACATATGCCTCAAGTGCAGGTTTATTACGTCGGTCATCTTTGTGGCAAATTTGTATCAGTGGTACCTTTGCTTTTACTAATAGTATTAGTGCTTGTGGTAGCTATTTAGAAGATTATCGTTTATGCTTGTTTATGTAAATTATCTCTAAATTAATGTATTGATCACGAAAAAAGTATACCCACGTGTGGCAATCCTTGTAACCATTCTAATGTATCAGTGAAATATATCTATCGCTTCTTGTCATAAAAAGAGAAACCTCTCATCTCTTTGATTAGCTTTTATGATCTTTTGCTTAAAAAGTGTATTTGTGAGAAATAATTTTCGCACATATATTCTTTTCCTCTCTATAGGCGTCCCACTTTATTTTTAATTATTGAATCTAATAAAATAAGAAACAATTTAAAATATGAGAATACTAAAACAATAAAATAAAATTTACAGAAATCATTTCTCGATCTCTATTTTCTCATCTTTGATTGTATGGTCACTAACCGTATGGGAAGCCAACCATGAACCAATTCACAACCCAAAAGAACAATTGCTACTTTTTCTATTTTCACACCAACAATACTTGATTACTCAAAAATGAGTAGGAACTCCTACTCAAAATTCCTCACAATTGTGTTCGTTGTCAATTTATAGAACTTCGTGTTTATAATCAAAACCGTTCATATTATAAATCACCCTATAAAGATCACCTCTGCAAAAAATCAAATAAAATTAAGGTCGTTTAGCCATCAAATTGTTTAAAAGCAAAT